GTGTACAGATGCCGGGTTGTGCCGCTGTACACCCGCAACCTATATAATTGTATTAACCAACGCCACCCTAATAAATGCAGTGAAAATACTATGTTGGCAAGAAGGTATTGAAATGAAGAATGCTTTCATTCCCCTCCCTTTCCCGAGTGTGTTGGAGTAAACAGGTGCTTGTCAGTAAAAAATAATAACTGGTACGGTTAGCAGTCATATTGTAAGTCTTGTCAAAGACTCTTTTTGGTGTTTTTCATAAAAATGTAAGTGATTATAATGAAAGGCGGTAAGGGCTGGATAACAAATCCTTTTGCCAGTCAGCTAGCTTTTAATTCGTTGCTTACAACGAAATGGGAGGCAGTCAAAGTGCCAACGCAGGAACATTGAAAACAGCACTCGATGGCAGACCACAGCATGACCCCCTGCTGGGCTGAGAGAACGGAGTGATGGCTGGACAGTAAAACCTTCCGCTCCCGGAAACGCAGCGGAGCGTCCACTGGGCCGGGGGGGCCTGCCGAGGCCGAGGGCCGGACAGTGGTGCGCTGCCGTGGCCTGTGCACGCTGCCTCCGGGAGGCCTCCCGTTCCTGGATGGCCACGGACACACTTGCCGGGGTCGGGGGGGTGGAGGTCCTGGGGGAGGACTTGCCCTCTGCGGTTTGGTTCCTGGGGCGCTCAGGTGACACGGGTCTTTTTAAGTGTCCCGGAAAGCTTTGCTTCCACTGCAGAACCCACTGAAACATCCACTGATGTTTCTCCCCACAGAGCAGGAGAACCAAGCAACTGATAGTGGCGACCGTCTTGTTTGTGCTCCAAACAGCTCAAAGCCAAGTGCAGGGCCACCTCTCGTCTTGTCCCCGGTCGTGACCTGCATGTCCTCGTTCCAGCGTTCTCTGTGGCACTGCCCTCCGAGCCTCATTAGTTCCGCTGGTCCTCACTTTCCACCTGTACACGTCCCTGTTTTATTGTACGTGTTTGTTGTAAGGCATCTCAAATCACGTATCCATCCTCCTTTCTGGATTCGCTTCATTTCCAAGGGCGGCTGGAGGATCTGCCACGTTTTGGTTCTCCCGGGGCGCTACCACAGCTCCCCCTGCTCGTGAGTTCCTCCCGTCAACCAGGAGAGAGGTTGCTCAACTACACAGGGAGCCCTTAGGGGCCAGGACTTTCACGGTGAGTCCACGGCACTCAGTGTCCAGCACGGGGCCTGCTCTCTACAGAGTGTCCCCTGCCCTGTAGGGACGGGACAGTAACACCCGCGGTGAAAGTGGTTTGTTACTTCAACTCCCTGGGATAGGGATGGGGGTAGGGATAGGAGCTGCTTCTTTCTCTCTGCTGCACAGGATTCCATCGTGTGAATGTACCACAGTGTTTTGATCCACTCAGTTACTGATGGGCACCGAGGTTGCTTCCAGCACCTGGATGGAGCTGGAGAGCATTATGCTAAGCAAAACAAGCCAGGTGGTGAAAGACAAACACCATATGATCTCACCTTTAACAGGAACCTAAACAACAAAACAAACAAACAAGCAAAATATAACCAAAGACACTGAAATAGAGGACAGGCTGACAGTGACCAGAGGGGAGAGAAGGGGGAATTTCAGGAGAAAAGGGGAAGGGTTTACAGGAACAATGGTAAAGGACACATGGACAGAAACTAGGGGGAGGGTGGTGATGGGAGGGAAGTGGGGAGGGTTGGGTGGGTGGGCTGGAATGGGAGTAAAAGGGAGAAAACTGTACTTGAACAATGATTAAAATAAAATAAAATAAAATAGAGGAATAGGAACAGGGGGCTTTGTATCCGCACCAGTTCCTGGAACTCTCGTCACCCAGGAGAACGAAAGACCCACGCACGAACAGAAGACGTCACGCACGTCACAGAAGAGAGCATGCTGGGTGGCACTGCGTGCTGAGGGAGTTCTCTGGTGACCAGGGCTGGGGAGGTGGCTCTGCTCCACACACTGTGGGTTACCTCAGCGTCACCTGTCTTTCCGTGAACCCTGATTTAATGCCCCGGACACAGACCTCGCACGCTGTGCACTGTGATGGAGAGCCTAGAAGCCGTCAAAATTACAAATGTCTACGCAAAATCTTTAGTTTACTAAAAGGGGCGTCCGTAGAAACTGCACCATCTCATGCAGGTGCGTGAGTCTGTCTGTGTATTTCTCAAGCGCAGCGGAGAGGGACCTCAGGCCGGGGCATCGTTTGGACTGGCCATACTGCGAGGTAAGGACCGGGCGGGGGTCGGACACGCTCTGTCTGCGGCGCAGGCGCTGTGGTCAAGCCCCAGGCACTGTCGTTGGCTCGGTCCACGGGGTGAGCTCACAGCCACGTTTCTCGGGCTCATCGCTTGCACTTAGTTTCAAGCCACTTTTTTCACTCTGAAAACTCTAAATGCCTCACTGAGGACAGCACGTACAACCCTCCTGGCCATGTACAACACCAAGCCTCTGGCTCCAAAGTTCAGCTGTTTTTGAGTTATTTGGACAAAAGGTCGAAAGATATCTTTCTCAGCAGGAAAAGTGTAATTTTCCATGTCTCTCTGATGTTCGGAAACGGTTGAAGTGATTTCCCCCTAAAATTTCCACAAACAAATAACTTGTACCCGTGGAGTAACTAATCATGAGATAGACGCCTTGGCAGAAATGTGGATAGTGACCCTCTCCCCTCCTGTCCGTAACCCTGTCTGCCTGAGCATCCTGAGGGTGCACCCTTGGGGGGAGCCAGAGATCACCCCCAGTTAAAACTCAGACCTTTCAAGTTGGTACTTCGGGCATGGAAAGCACTTCTAAAAAGGCTCTGGACCTGGGGGGCTACAGCAAAGCCCTCCCGTCTGTCAGGTGCTCGTCTGGGATTCAGCTACAGCTGGGAGGAGAGCCCTGGTATCTGAGACCACCCAGCACCCCGTCTGGGCAGGCGGGGCCCCGCCTCGCTGTCTGCCTGTGCGGCACCATCTCGCTCGTCCACGGGCTTCCCAGCGCACTTGTCTTTCCGTGTGGAGCTCGCTCTGGCCTCCCGTGCCAAGGTGACTCGGCTCTCCGAGCTGGACTTGCAGGATTCACCTCTGGGGGCCCCAGGCGTTTTCAGTATTTTTGTGTACTTTGCTCGACGTTGCTCAGTATGAGGTTGAACCTGCCAGGAGTTAGACTTGGGGCTCCCAAGACAGGGCCACGGGCCACCGGCACGCGTAGGAGCAGGTCCGCGTGGGGAGCCTCTCTCCCCCGTCCGCCCACTGTCCCCTCGCCTGCAGGGCTGGCTTCCATTTCGACCAGCCGACCGTAAACAAGTGTTTGGCCTTTGGGGAGGGAGGTGGGCGGTGGAGTTTCTGAGGCTCAGTCCGGGCCTTTGAGGGGCCTCCCATGCCTGCCCCCACCAGGTGTCTCGGGTGTGCCCCTCTGAGTCACCCCTGGGCTGCCCGGTGACCGACAGCCCCCAGGATTATCCTAGCTCCTCTCCTTCGCGCACCGCTCGCATCTCGCGAGTGTCTTCCTCCGGCTGCGCGAGTCCGGCCGTCGCCCGGTCTTTGCCCCGTCGATGTCGCGGTCCTCCGGAGCCCCCGCGCCGCCGCGCGCCGAGGTCGGGCGGGCGGGCCCGGGGAAGGTCCAGGTGCCAGGACGCTCCGTCGTCGCGGGCCGAGCCTGGGTCCCCGCGCCCGGGCCGGGTCTCCCGCCAGTCCACGGCGCGAGTCCGTCTCCCGGGCTGGAAGACGTCGGCGCCGCGGCCCCTGCACGCGCCCCGCCCGCGCCCCGCGCCCGCCGCGACGTCGGGGGTCCCGGCCGTGCCCCTCTGGACGCGTGTCCGTCGGGCGCGCGAGCGTCCGTGCGCGCCCCGCGCGCCCCCGGCCGGGCTGGAACTTTTCTGCCGCGGGCGGGGGGGGCGGGGGGCGCCGGGGCGGGGGGCGGGGGGCGCGCGGGGCGGGGGGCGCGGGGGGCGGGGCGGGGGGCGGGGCGGGGGCGCGGCGCGGGCGGGGGGCGCGGGGCGGGCGGCGGCGGCGGCGGCGGCGATTGGCTGGGGCGCCATCCGGGGCCTGCTCGGCGCCGCTCGCTCGCTCGCCCTGAAGGCAGCAACATGGCGGAGGTGAGCGCGGCCCGGCGGGAGGCGGCCGAGCGGCCCGGCGTCCCCGCGTCCCGGCCGGCCTGGCTGTCCCGGGCCTCCCACGTTCCCCGGCGGCGGCGGCGGCGGCGGGCGGGCGCGGGCTGCCGGGGGGCTAGGCCGCGGCGGGCGGGCGGGCGGAGGCGGCGGGCGGCGGGCGGCGAGCCCCGGGCCGGGGACGGCGCCGAGTCGGGGCCGCGGGCGGACGCGGAGCCGGGGCGCTGCCTGCGGGCGGACTGCGGGGCGGCGGCGGCGGGGCGGCGACAGCGCCGGCGGGAGGAGCGGCTCCCCGCCGCGGGGTCCCGGCTGCGGGCGCGCAGGGCAGCGGAGGGCGGGATGCGGGGTCCGAGGTGCGGGGCCGGCGGACACCCTGCGCGATGCACTCCGGGGCCCTCGGCGGCCCTGTCCCCGGCCGGCTGCCGGCCGCGTCCCCCGGGGCCGGTGAGCCGAGGTTGGGGGGTGGGTGGCGGGGAGGCCGGGGGACAGGACCCCCGGGAGGGATCGGCGTCTCCGCGCTCTGCACGGAGGATGCAGTCGCGCTCCTCTCTGGGGAGGCTGTCTGGTTGCGCTCCGATCTGCGCCCGGCCCGGACGGGGGTCGCGGGCGCGGGGTGCGCAGGTGCGGGGGGACGAGGACGGGCCCGGGAGCCGGGGGTTTCGGGGACCTGAGATGCGGGCCGGCGCGGGGCTGCGGACCCGTGCTCTGCTGGTAACTCGCCGAGCGCCCAGGCGGGCAGCACCCGCCTGTTACTCCGGAGTCGGCGCCCGGGGCTCGGGAGGGGCCGGGGGGGCCCGGGGCGAGCGCGGCCGGAGCGGCGGGTGGGTCTTTTTCGCGCTGGGGCGGGCCGCCTCCTGGGCAGCTGTCCGGGCCGCCCCGGCTGCCCGCCTAACCGTAAGCTCTCTCTTCTCTCCTAGGCTTCTTTCGGGAGTTCCAGCCCAGGTGCGTCCTATTTTCTCACCTCTCCTGTGGGTCCCCGGCGTGATGATGGGGCTCAGAGATCAGCCGCTGAAGGTTCTCCCACAAAAGATTGTCCGCCAGGCCTTTTTTCGTGGTTTGTTTTCAAGAGTTTCGGTGCCCATGTTGGTAATTAAGTTGTGATCAGCCCAGGATAACAGAACTTTTTGGCAACACTATTGAATCATAATAACCATCTTTTCCGATTTCATGCCTCTGTACTATTCTCTTTCTCTTTTGTTGCCTGTTGAGAAAATACCGTGTTGCAAAACCGATAACAGACAACTGCTCTAACTCGAACACGTCGTGTTCTTTTTTCCAAGCCGGAGACGGTTAACGTGACGCCAGCTTCCCACACCTTCGGAGATTTGGGGTCGGTGTTACTTTTGACTCTGTTGGTCAGGGCGCCGGGGGTGCTGTTGGTCGTTAAGCACGACGCCCACCCTCCCTGATTGTGTCTTGCACATTTTCCATAGTTGAGAAGTGTCTGCGGATTGTGTTGAAGTTGGAATTTGAGAGTTAGGTAAAGCTGCCTCCATCCAAAGAAACGCCGGATGTCGGAGTCTGGCGTGAGAAGCAGTGGCAGGCCTGAGGTGAGCCCGCTGGGCAGCACTGCCCAGCACTGTGCTTCTTAGCCTTTTGTGGCCGCAAAGCCCTGCGAGGATGTGAGGAGGCCCGGGGACTCGCCCAGAGCTCCCCACGTTGGCACCTCGCCACCCTTCGGAGCCTGGGGGACCCCTGCAGCCGTCCCCAGTGAGGCCCTGGCCTGTGCTGCCCAGAACCTGGGGGTAACGTCCCTCACCCTCCCAGCCCCTTGGGGCTGCCGCCTCCCACTCTGGGTCTGCAGGCCACCTGCCTCTGACCCCTCGCAGCTCCCTGGTTGACACTGGAGGACGTGGCCGGCTGTGCAGAGGCACCTGGTTTGCAGGGGCCCAGGGTGTCCAGGCCCATCGCGCAGCGGCCCCCCCCCCAGCCCCCCGCCGCAGGTGGCTGCACGTTGGGTCCACTTTTGAGGTCTCCCTTAATTCCCACTTAGGGTATTGTGAAGTAGTTGACACTGTGGACAAGGAACGTGCGGTCATTTAAGAATAGCTGCACACGTCTTCGTGTTTAAAAACCACTTTAGGATGTTTCTGTACTTTGGAGACAGACGTTTCTTTGTTGTAACTGGTTTTAGGAAAAGAACATTTACATGCAGGGTGCCAAACATCTGGATGACAATGGGGTTTTCCCGTCTCGAACCACCGCTGTTCAGACGCCGCAGTCTGAACAGCAAGCGAAATGATGTGTGGTTTCGGGGTCTAAACAAATTGATACTCTGTTTTCAATCGATTAGTCAATTTTAAAGAGAATTTCAGAGCTAGAAGAGACTCTCGAGGCCCCGTAAACCAGCCCTGCGTGTTTTACAAAGGAAGAGCTGGACCGAGGCCCGGAGAGTTGGAATGGCTTGCCTCAGGTTCCAGAGACCCAGGGACAGAGCCAAGAGGAGACCCTGAGGCCCCTCGCCGCTGGCCGTCATCGAACACCTCCCACTTTAACGGGGAGCCTGCTGGGGGCACCCAGTGGTATGGGGGCCGCCGAGAGGGCGGGGCTCTGCTGAGAGGGCGGGGCTCTGCCTGGAGCCGTGCTGACGGACACGTCCAGGAATGCCTCAGAGAAATTGTGTAAGGCTAGATGTTCTGCTTTTCAGCTCTGTAATATTTTTTGTTTAAAGTTAAACTGATCCTATACTTCCCCAGGTTTTAAAGTAAGCAGGTAATATTTTCAACATTGAAAAAGGAAGGTGGTGGTGCAAACCTAAAGAATAACGTCCCATAGAAAGTCTGTGTATGTATTTTTTGGAGCAAATGATCAGAGTTATCCAAACTGAGAGTCAAGAACATTGAATTATGTCTGGTTTTTTTTTTTCCATCGTGAAAAATCTTAGGTCTAGATCAGCATTTTATTAATGATCTCACGCCGTCCTTAAGTGTTTCAAATTTCAGAATATTACGTAGCTTGGCTACAAAGAGATCAAACTCTTTATGTCGAATGTGCGTCTGCCCTTCACCTCGGGGTTCCGACGCTCGTTTCCTCCCCGGCCCTGAGAGGCACTGGTCCGACCGGCTTAGACTCCGGAGCAAACACGTGGAGAGAGTCCCCCTTTCCATCGTTTGATTTTATTCCCTTGGGATTATGGGTCTTTCTTACTTTTCCACTTTGTTTTCAGAGTATCTTGTAACTTGGTATTTGTCACTGAAATGTGTTACAATCGCACGAGCAGCTCACGATGGGCCATGTCCTCCCAAACCCACGGTTCTCTGCTCCCTCTCCCTTCGTGTGAGCTTCGGACGGTCTGAGTCACCCAGGGAGAGCACGCTCATGCGGTGTGACGCCGCCGGGCTCGCGCCGGGAGCCCGCAAGGCTGCCAAGGCCCAGGTCGCCGGGCAGCGGCCTCACGGAGACTCACGCTGGTTCAGAAACCAGGTTTCTGCTGTATTTTGTGCGCCTTTAGTTGGGGTTTGGAATTTGGGTAACATACTCTCTTCTCCCAAAGTGTTTAGCCTTAGTGCATAACAGATTCTCCCGGGATCTTTGATCCATTGGTTTCGTATAAACGTATTTAACTAACTTCACAAGCAAGTTTGACTTCTCTCTGAGAACGTTTAGTTAGGACCGCTGCGCCTAGAACTCACCTTGCTGCTGTTGTCAGTCTCATTCTTATGGACTGGAGTCCTGAGGAAAGTGTCATTGAATTTCCCCCGGCGGCGGCGGCGGCGGCTGCTGCTGCTGCTGCTGGGGTCGAGGTCTTGGCAGACCGGGTGGTCGTGCCCTGCAGCCCCCAATGTGCAGGGCAGACATGTCTGCGAGTGCGTAGGCGCTGGCGGAGGAGCTGTGCAGGCTTGCCACACCGCTGAGCCCCTCTCGTCCCGCAGGGTCCCTGTCTTCCGAGGACCACGACTTTGACCCCGCCGCGGAGACGCTGGCGCAGGGCTACGATGAGGACCGGGCCCTGGAGGAGGAGGAGGAGGTGATGGATGGCAGCAAGGACTTCAGCTCGGAGATCGAAGACCTGGAGAAGGTACAGGGTGTGGCTTTAACTTCCAGCGACGGGTTTTGGAATTCTGTTGTACGTTACCTTCCACTCTGCTGGTTTTGACCTTTTACGGAGTGTTGCTGATTTTGTCGTCATTTGGGAAGATAGCCTACTGAGTACACTTTTATTTAATCTTTAAGGCTTATTCTGTTACCCTGACTTATAAGCGTGCGCCGGCGCAGCAAAGGAGGCACACCTGACGACGGGTGGGGGCAGGCTGTGAGGGCATGGCCCCGGGCCGCCCTGGCCCTGAGCCCCTGCCCAGCGCCCCCGGCTGCCGCCCGCGGGCCGGGCCGGAGTTCACTGCAGGGGTGCAGGGAGGGGGGCGTTCGCACAGCTCACGAGCGGTCTGGTAGACAAGGCTCCTCTGAGAGCGCTGAAGAGACAAGGTTTCGCTCTGTTTTGAAATCTAAGTCAGTAACATCTAATTCCCCCCGACTCCTGACCCCTGTCATCTTCTTAAAAGTTGGCAGGAACAGGTGTGATGATTCGACTTTCCGGTCACAATCAGTATAAATTCAGGTGAGCTGGGCTGACACTCGCGTCTGCCCCAGCACCGCGAGGAGAGGCCTGCACGGGGGCTGTGCTTCCCTGCCCACACTGACCGAGTCCGCACGTTCGTGGGCAGCCCGGAACCACAGACACTCTCAGGAACACCACGGGGTGGTCATCGGCATCTTCCGAGTCCTCACGCCCCTTCCCTCAAACACGACGCAGCACATTCTCACAGCGGTGCTCTCCTCTGCCGGACCCGCCCGGCCGGTGGGCTGGGGGTCCCGCCGCCGCACACGGGACGGGGGGCGGAGGCTCCTGGGCTGGGCTTGCTCTGCTGGGACTGGCATTTTCCAGACAGAGTCGCTCTCTGGCAGATGAGTCCAGTGCAAGTGCAGTTAGATTCAGTCATTTAAGAAATACATACATCTCCTGTGAGAGCCAAACGTATGTGACAGAACAGAGATAAGATTGATAGGAAACACTCAGGAGGAAAAGTCGTGCTTGTTTCAGGGGTGACGGCAAAATACCAGCTGTGGGTGAGAAGGGTGCCCGAGTCTGGACCCCTGCCCCTGGAGCTCCTGGAGCCCAGAGCGCAGCTGGCAGCATCCCCGAGCCGGGGGTCGGGGGGCAGTGTGACCGTGCCCCTGAGACCCAGGAGCTTGCGCTGTGTGTGGGGGCAGGTGGGCACGCAGATTGTGGTGTGGTGCGCTGGGAAGCGTGAGAGCTGTCCGCAGTGCGAGCTCTGGGGGGTGGGGGGCAGGGGGCCTACGTAGCCGGGGCGGGGGGGGTCTGTGGATGTCTCCTTAGAGGGGGTGCTGCTCCTTGTGGTGCACAGGGCCGGGACACCGCCAGGGTGCGGGCACAGGGCCCAGGTGTGCCCGGGAGCCCACCTGCCTCCCCGGGTTTGTTGCTGAGGGCGGGAGGTGGCAGCCTCGTCACAGCGTGAGGTGGGAGGGGGAGAGACAGCAGCACGGGGGCCACACGGGCAGCTGTTTGTCACAGGCCGGCCGGGCCTGGACCCTTCTTGCCGAGTGTGAGCGACCGCTGGGGGGCGCGTGGTCTGGCAGGTTCCGCTGTGCTTCTCCCAGGGGGGAGGAGAGCTGCTTCGGTCTGTGTGTTTGGTGGGTGTTAGAGGAAATGGGGAAGACTTGGGGCAGTCACTAGGAGCCGAGCTCCTCGCTCACCTTCACAGGGGACACTGAGTCCGCACTCGGCGACTTGCGCTCCGTCTGGTGAGCGCTGGTGGTTAAAGCCTCCGGCTCCTTGCGGGCGGGGCGGTGTCGGTGACTCGGCCTCCAGCAGGCGGCGTAGGACGGCGATGGCAGGAGGGGCACCGTCTCTCGAACGCCGACAGTCAGTGGCGTTGGTGTCCGTGAGTGCTGGGCAGGGGTCCGTCTGACCAGGGGGCTCCTGGTCACCGTGCGGGGTAGACACGCCGAGCAGCGAGCTGTGCGTCGCGAGGAGGCGAGCTGCAGGTCACAGGAGGTCACTGAGTGCGGGGAAGCGCCTTCGAGGTGAACCTGGCAGAGGCAGCCCCGGGAGATGGGGCCCAGAGGCCGGCTGTGGGGCGGCCGCGCTCGTGTGAACGGCGGCTCCAGGGGCTCGAGCCTGGCGTCCGGCGGGGGCACGGAAAGGGCTCTGGAGCACGGCCCTGCCGTGACGCCCCCATGCTCCGCGCCGTGTGCTCACGTGTGCCCGGCCCCGCAGGAGGGAAGCATGCCGCTGGAGGACCTGCTGGCCTTCTATGGCTGCGAGCCGGCGCTGCCCGCCACCGCGGACTCCAGCGCGGACAGCTCCCCGAGTGGCCTTGCGGACGAGCTGCCGGACATGACCCTGGACAAGGTGAGCATGGGCGTGGGAAGGAGGGGTTTCGGGGCCACGGCCACTGGCTGGTCCGGGTGGCGTTTTCCTTCCGCGAGAGGGCGTGGCAGCTCTGAGACGTTAACTTCCTCCCGGTCCATCGCTCTTCCCGCTCCGGTGGCTGGTTTAAGTGTCGTCCGGCTCTCGTCGCACCGCGTTACCCACCGTGGCGGCTTCCTGACGTTTTGCATGTTTGCGGATTCTCCCACGATGCCCCATCCTCCCTGCGCAGACGTGGTTTCCCCGAACATAGACTTTGCTGTAACCCCTTTGACCCCGTGAACGCCCGGAGGCACGGGTCAGCGGACCCCCAGGAGCCTTGCACGGAGCCGGCTCCGGCGGGGGCGTTGGAGTCGGGTTCCGGGCCCGGGGCCCTGCAGGGGCCGCCGACAGGCCGCGCGTGGGGAAGGCCCGGTCGCTGCGGAGGAGCATTCACACCGCGCTGTCTCTGCTAACAGATCCCCGGGGAGCCTCCCTCGCCTTTCCACTCTCGGGCAGGGAGAGGAATCCACATCTTGGAACCTCTTCCTGTGAGTTTCCTTCCCGCTTCTCTGTCGAATGTCATGTGAATGTGCCGCCCAGGGCCCAGCTCCGGGCGGCCGCCGCCCGCACGGCCCCGAGTGCAGGCCTGTCTCCACTGAGGTGGCGTCGCCGCTGGTCAGGGTGCTCACTGGTGGGCTTTCCTCGCGGCCGGAGGGGGGCTTGCCAGGCGTCCCCCAGCGTCTGTGGAGGTGGGCGGGTCGGCCCCAGGACCCCCGGGAACCCCTGTGTCCGAGGGGATCAGGCCCCGGCCATGGGATGGCGAGCATGTGTGCCCGCGTGCAGAGGTCCCCCCCCACCCCCGGGTGGTTCCGGCCCCTGACACCGCAGTGCCTCGCAGGTGACACGCAGGGGGAGCCTGGGTGTCGGGGCCACGCCAGCGACGGGGGGCGCTCTCCCAGATGGTTCAGGTCCCCAGTGGGCTGACCGTGGGCAGGGAACCCTCAGAAGCTGGGGCTGGCGATATTCTGGTGGGAAGTGAGTTTAACTGTTACCCACTTGGTGGGGTTGCTTTTGCTCAGAAGTCACTGAAGGTCAGCCCACAGCCTCAGATCAGCTCTCTGCAGACCCACAAATGAGGCAAATTGCTGTAAACCTGTAATAGTGTAGTTATCAGATGCAGCTAAGTTTTGAGTGTTTGTAAATAGTTACATGACGTAAGTTGTAGAATCTCAGATTTTCTCAGAACTAAAGCAGCTTCAGCTAGTTCCTAGTCGCACCGCCACGAGCGCGTCTGTGGACAATGTCGCGCAAAGACGTCTGGGGAACCCGAGGAGGTGCTGGTGTCTGACCCCCACGCCCCCTGCCTGCCCCCACAGGAGGAGATAGCCAAGGACCTCCTGTCCGGGGACGACGACGAGGAGACGCAGTCCTCCGCCGACGACCTGACCCCGTCCGTGACCTCCCACGAGACGTCCGACTTCTTCCCTCGGCCTCTGCGATGTAAGGCGCGGCGCCGGCCCCGGCCGTGTCGCTGTTCTGGCTCCACCGCCTCGTCCCGCGTTCAGTAGGCGGTCGGGGTAGTCTCGGGTTTTTACGTAGCTGGGACGAAATGCCGTTGTGACCTGAGTAAGAACTCAAGCTTTTTCGCTGGGATCGAGGGCAGCTGGAGCCGTGTCCGGGGACCGGCAGCCCAGGCGGCTCTGCGTGGCTGCTGGTCTCGCTCTGCGTGGTTGCTGGCCTCCAGGACCGCCTGCCCCTGCGAGGGCCGGTCCTGTTCCAGCCGTGGGGCCGCGTAGACTTTTCCGGACCGATGGTGGAAGGCCCCTCCTCTCCTGTTTTGAAAACCATCCGTTGCTCAAAATATATTTTTTATTTTTAGTGATTTATTTAATCGTTTTTTCCTTTTTGTTCTTGGTGTCGTCCCTTAGTGCGTATCAGTAATACTTAGAAGGTCTCTGCACGGAAATAATTTCTCATGTGCCACTTATTTCGCAGGCGTTTTTGTGGTACAGCTGTTCAGCTCACTAGTGCAAATACACACACGTGTGCACAGAGGCTTAGCGTGCGGCCCAGGCTGACGAGCAGAACCGGGCCTCGGTGCCCGAGCTCCCCTGCCAGGCGACTCCCCAAACTCAGGGACGCAACCGAGTGATCGTGAGGACGCCCTCTGGGGGTGTCCAGCCTGCGGCCCAGCCCAGAACGTGAATCCACTCACTCCGAGCCCGAGGTTCTTGGTGGTTCCCTGTCACAGCGTGTGTTTAGCGTGGGGCCCGAGACAGCTCTTCCTCGTGTGGCGCAGAGACGCCGGAGGCGGGGCACGCCTGCACACTCTCTCTCCGTGGCTCCCCTGCCTCGCTCGGGGTCAGAGACGAGGGGACAGTGCGAGAGGGTCAGCATGTCCGCCCCGATCTCGTTGGGTCGGCCCATTTCAGTAGACGCCCGGTGCCAGGGGCTCCTCCGCGTGCCTCAAAGATGAGGCACCTGAGATTGAACCTCCTCCCCCCAGCGAACACGGCCTGCGACGGGGACAAGGAGCCCGAGGTGGAGGGCGTCGAGGCGGACGGCGGGGACTCGCCTGAAGACCTGAGGAAGGTAAGTGGGGCGGCCGCCGACCCGCGGTGACCGTTCGGACGGAAGCATCGAGGTGGCTTTGTAAACGATTTGAGAAACTCGGCCGCCACACGGTGCCACCTCTTTTGACCTGCGGTGGCTGACCTGGGAGCGGGAACCTCTCTGGTGCCTGTCCTCAGAGTGGTGAGTTGTCCCCGCGCTGCGTCCCCCTGCAGGAGATCATGATCGGCCTGCAGTACCAGGCGGAGATCCCCCCTTACCTCGGAGCCTACGCCGGGCAGGAGAGAGGTAAGGGGGCGTTGGTCTCCATGGAGACATCTCGGTGGGCAGGGCTGCCTCCTAAGACCGCTACCTCCGTGCCTTGACGGTGGGTGGGAGGGCCCGGGGCTCCGGGGGGCGCGGCGGGGCGTGGGGCGGCTCAGGAGCACGGCCTCTTCCTCGGGAGGGACGTGGAGCCCGCACTGCCTGCCCCTCGGCCTGCGTCCCGCTCCGGCAGGAGGGGTGGAGCCGTGCCCCCGGAGGGAACGGGGAACGGGAATGCTGGGACCGGTCCTCTTGGGGAGAAAACTCCTGAGCGACAGGGAGGCCGCGGGAAACCCCTGCCCGGCCGGCCCCCGAAGAGCGGGAGGTGGGGCGTGAGGGCTCGGCTCTCGCTCGCTCACGCCCCACCGACGTGTGGTTGGTCTCTCCTCGCGCGGCCGGCAGACCCCCGCTCTGGCTGGTTCTGAAAACGGGGCGGGGGCGGGAACCAGGGACACAGTTCTCCCTCCCAGGGTGAGCCTGGGCCGGCGGGGGCGGCCAAGCAGGTTTGGCCTCTTCCCTAACGAGGGGCTCGGTGGAGGCCGTGGCGGCAGCACAGCGGAGGCCGCTGGGCCTGGAGGGCAGGCGCCCTGTGATGGGGGGTGAGCCCAGCCGCCAGAGGAGCCCCCCGCTTCAGCCGCCGGAATGCCTGGCTCTTGATAAAGTCGAGAAACTGTTCCGAGCTCTGCCGAGGAGAGGCGCGCCGTGCCCGAGAGTCGGGCGGCCCCAGGGCTCACCGCGCCGTGTCCCCAGGGCCCGACCAGGAGGACCAGCTGCTGTGGCGGCCCGGCGCGGTGCTGGAGAGCAGAGTGACGGAGTACCTGGCGGAGGCCGCGCTGAGGACCGGCGGCGAGAAGGCGGCCGCCCGGGGCGCGGCGGGCGCGCTCACGCGGGACAACGAGCAGGTGGGCCCGCCCCCACGCGCGCGCGCGGCCGCAGGGGTCGCGTCTTCTCCGCCGTTTCCCTTCGGTCTGGGTGCTTCTGTCTCTGGTGCGTTGCCACGACCTGGAAAACGCCGGCCTGAAGAACAGCCGCGAGACTCTCTGCCACGTCTCTCCCTCCGGTCTCCCGTTCTCCGCGCACGCCCTGCTCCGGCCGGCTCCTGCCCTGTGCCCTCTCGTCACCGGGTCCTGTCCTCCTCCTCGTTTGCCACCGGGAGTTCTTGAACGCCTCGTCCTTGGTGACCGTGCGCGCCGCTGCGGGGCCGCGACGCCGCTCCTTCCGGCGCTCTCCCGGGGACTTCCGGGTCGTGGTGCAGGCCCTTCCGGGTGGCTCTCGCACTCCCCTCTCCCAGGCGTGGGGGGGGCGGGGGGGAGCGGCTTGTCGCCTGCGGGGCTTTCCGGGTACAGTAGCCCCCGTTCCGCCCCCAGTGGATGTCTCCGTGCCCCTCCGGCCCCGGGTGTCGCCGGCCCGGGTGGGTCCGGCTGACGGGACGGTGTGGCTCCGGCCTGCTCACGCGGAGGGGTCACGCTGCCGACCCGCAGGGGGCGTCACCGGCCGCCGGCAGGGTCCCGCGGCTCGGGGCTGCTGCCTCCGACCGCCGCGCGGCAGCTCTGGAAGGGCCGGCGCCCCCCGTGCGAGCCCTTGCCCGTCGGGGCCGCGGTCTCCGGCTCCCGGCTGTCCGCCTCAGGGTTCCCGGCGGGACGCGGCGCACGCCTGGCCGACGCAGCGCCCTCACGCCCCTGCAGCGTGTGCGTGTGCCCGCGCCCGTCCCGGACGGGGCCTCTGTCACGCCGGGTCCGGGTGTCGCGGGCCCAGGGGGTGTCGGCGGTGTCCACGCGGTTTCTCGAGCTGCGGAGACGCCGACGCAGCGACTTCCTGGTGCTTCTCCCCGGGTCCCAGCCCCGCAGTCCCTGCCAGGCCTCGCGTCTCCCGAGGGTGCTGCCTCCCTGCGGCAGGGCGCCAGCCCCGGGCCCGCGCAGCTGCTGGGGCCGTCGGGCGGGAACTGCCGGCCCGCGGCCACCGTGGTTCTGCTCTCTCAACCCCGGGAGTGGGGGCCGGCTTTGCAGATGCTGTGTTAGCGGCTGTCGAGGTGGTTCTTGAGCGAGGGACTGTTCATGCATCGATCGTCAGCTCACTGACACTAATACGTCGGCAGGCTAAGTTAATGTATTAAATTAGCCAAGGTTTGCCAGTACCGAGCCCTCCTCGCCTGTCTCGAAACTTAGTCGGGGAGGTGGGTCGTTACCTAGCTTTCCGCTGATTTCCGTCCACTTCCATTCAGTACACTCGTGACTTCAAACCGACTCCGTAGGAAGAAACCTGAAGTAAAAAAAACAGACCCTTCCTGGGGGTGGAGGGGACCGAGGCCACGGCCAACCGGTCACTGCGGCACCCGCACTTGCAGCCCAGCTGCCGCCGCCCTCGGTCACTAAACCCCGAGAGGCGGGCCCGGGCGGGGGGGTTCTGGAGAGAGCACTGCAGTTCCGAGTCCTCCCGGCTCGGAGAGGCAGCCGGGAGCGGGCGTCCCCCTGGGTCCGAGGACCCCGCGCTAAGACGTCAGGAACGACTCTGGGCTCCGTCCGAGCAGTGGGCGCTGGCTGGGCCCCGGAGCCCGTCCTCAGGGCGTCGTGCAGACCGCACGTCCCGGCACTCGTGTTCCCCCGGGGTCCGGGGGGTCCTGAGGTCAAGGGCATTTCAGCCAGTAGTCGCTGAGACACTCAGATACGCCGGGCTGGTGGGCTGGGGGGGTTTTAATGCCGTTGAGTAAGCACCGGTGGTTGGTTTTATCGGCTGGTTTCTTCCTCTCTCTCAGGCGTTGTATGAACTTCTCAAGTGTAACCACAACGTCAAGGAGGCCATCGAGAGGTACTGCTGCAACGGAAAGGCGTCTCAAGGTGAGGAGCGCCTGGACCGGGAGGGGGCCTGCTCCGGGTCAGACTGAGCAAGGGCAGCGAGGGCGGTGGGCCCTGCAGCACGGCTGGCCGCACGGTCTCGGCCCTTCTGCGGGTGCCCGGCCGCCTCTCCCCACCTTGCCCTCTGTCGGTGGGCGGCCCAGAGGTCGGTCCAGCAGAGTCGGCCGTGCCGCCTCCGCCTTCTGGAGGAACCAGGCGCAGAGCAGGGAGGAGCCCAGGGAGGACAGTGTGCCCAAAGTAATTGAACAACTTTACGGTATCATTGGGGGGAAAGTTGTTCTTTTTCTGGGAGGGGGATGGACAGGAAATGGAAGGACAATAAAGATTTAAAAAAGCAACCCGTAGTTAGTATGTGCTGTTGAACTTATTGCAAGAAGTGTATTTTTAGTAATTCTGTAACGGCGTTTTCCCGATGCTTGGGTTTTGTTTTGTGTGTGTCGAGGAGAAAGGTCCCCTTTAACTGCAGTGTTTCCGTCGTCGCGGAGACAGGTGCACGGCCCCGGGCGCTCACTGAGCGTGGTGTGGTGGGGGAGATAATGCCCAGGAGCACTGCCGACGCAGCCTGGAGAAACACAGGCCGAGAGCAGGACACTGAAGCCGTAGCTTGAGATAGTCTGTTGAAATGTTTCCTTGTAAAAGTTGCTGCTTTGAGAAAACATTGTTTTAAGCTCTCGTGAGTGTCAAAAACTGAGCTACCAGCTTCCTCCCTATTTCAGACTGCTCTTCCCCTATCTCGTGGGCTCCCATGCACGGCCTTGGGGGCCGCCCCCGCGTCCCTAAGCGCACCCTGTCCGCGCCCCCCCCCCCCCCACCGCCTGGGAGAAGGGGCTGGGGCTCCGGCGCCTGGGCTGCCGAGGGCACAGGCCCTTCCCGTTCCCTCCACGTCCCAGAGCGCAGCACTCCGGGCGCCGGCTTCAGATGGCAGGCACCAGCGGTTGCGGTCTCCATTTCCAGACTCGCGGTTTCGATGTAAAGCCAAAGTAACATGTCTTTTTGAGTAAAAAACTTGTTAATTTAAAAAATACACATATATGTGCTAATAGTATTAAAAAAACAGAACAGCAATGAGCATAAATTATAGAAAAACATTACATTCTTATCCCACCAGGCAGGAAAAAAATCCCAGTGTCTGTATTTTGGTGTTGTCGGCTCTTTGATAAGATTTCTAGTATTCGTCCTCTTGGCAGTTCTCACAGAAGCCTCCAGCACAGGGAACGTGTGTGTGAGTGTGTGTGTCTGTGTGTGTGTGTGTGAGTGTGAAAGAGAGAGAGTTAGTTCGTGGCCTTTTCCATGGCAGACACTCTTTGAGCGTAGACCACCAGCGTGTGTGGAAGCGTCCTGAGGCCGGTGAATTTTGTTTTGGAATCTCCGCAGACGGGATGACCGCGTGGACGGAAGAAGAATGCCGCAGCTTCGAGCACGCGCTCATGCTTTTTGGGAAGGACTTTTACCTGATACAGAAGAACAAGGTAAGCCAGGCAGGTCTGTACCGAGGGACCGCTGAGTGGTCACTGCGAACACCAGGAGCTACTTCCCAGGGCCCCCGGGTCGAGACGCGGGCGGCGGCTCCCGACCCGTGAGCGTGGCCGCCAGCGCTGGGGAGCCTGTCTGTTCCGCCTGTTCCCTTGGCTTCCACGTTGTCCTGACCTGTGTGGGGCCGTGCGGCCTCAGAAACGTTTTCCTTGCTGGACTTTCCAGCGTGATGTCAAATAGTTTCACGCTTTTTGTGTGAAAACTTAATGGTTTCTCAAAGATGAGATATGACCTGTGTAACTTGGTGAGTAATAGATAAGAGATTTTGAAGGAGTCTGGGTTGCCCCCAAAGACCAGATTTGCAATGACTTACGAAGCCTGCCCATCTCACAAATAACGGGGTCCTGTCGCTGACCGCGTGTCGGTGTCGCGCTCTCAGAAACGCACTGGTGGGTGAGACGGGGAGGGTCTCGCCCCCCAGGAGCCTGTGTTCTCTGCGGAGACTGGGGGTCAGCGAGGCTGCCCGGGAGCTGCGCTTCGTCTGTTGGTTCACGGGGCTCGTGCCCGTGCCGTTCCCTTCTGTCCGGTCACGCTCACCACCGGCCGGGGCGGAGCCACTGAGCCGCCGACCGGGGCCCGCGGAGCAGTGGAGGACATGGGTCTGGGCGCCCGGGCTCCCCGGGGTGGAGTGGGGGTGGACTCAGTGCAGCCGGGACGCCGAGGCCCCCGTGCTGTCGCGGTCGTCCTCTCCTCGCTCTGTGGGCGCCGGGCGCCGGCTGGCGGGGAAGCCAGCTTCCAGGTCGGGAGTCATCCTGCTTTCCCGGGGCAGGGGGGTGCTGGCCCCTTCCCCAGGGGATCCCGGCAGCCCCTCCTCCCCGGAAGGCGTGCCTGCGTCCGGCTTTAGGGGTTGGTGGGCTCCGTGGAGCCCGTCTGGGACAGAGCCCTCGGGGTCAGGAAGGGCTCTGCCACGGTCAGGGCCCCCGGGAGAGGCCAGTGTTGTAGGGTTCTCCATCAAGGTGTGAGGTAATGTCTAGATGCACGCTGATTTTGTGAACAGATACATTATGGCTCAAATAAATAAACATGGGGCTTTTGAGGGTAACTTCATAAAATGTTCAGAATTTCAAAATTCTGAAAATGGCCCACAGATTTAAGTTACAGCATTGTAAAGAAAAAAGAAAGTCAACCATTAAACACGTACAGGGTCTGTTTGTAAAAGCCCACTCGTCCCGTCAGGTGAAAACGCGGACGGTGGCCGAGTGCGTGGCCTTCTACTACATGTGGAAGAAGTCCGAGCGCTACGACTACTTCGCGCAGCAGACCAGGTTCGGGAAGAAGCGGTACAACCACCACCCGGGCGTCACGTAAGTGCTGCGGGCTGGGCCCTGGGGCTCCGCGCCGGCGCCGGGCGCGCGCGCGGCCCCAGAGTCACGGGTGTGTCTCCAGGGACTACATGGACCGCCTGGTGGACGAGACCGAAGCTCTGGGCGGGGCGGTCAACTCGCCGGCCTTGACCTCCAGCCGCGCGGAGCCGGTGCCCGAGGCGCCGCTGAACCTCCTCAGCTCCTTCACCGCGGGGGACCTGACAGGTAAGGCGGGCGCAGGGCGCGCGGTGGCCCGGGCGAGGCCCGCCCCCCGCCCCTCCCGCCGCAGCGCAGGCCGCGGGCTCAGAGCTCTTTCCGCCCCCTCCAGCTCTGGCGGGCGGCGCGGCGCCCGGCTGCGGCCCCGCCGACGGGAACTGCCTGGACGACGGCTTCCCGGCGCTGGGCAGCGCGCCCCGCGCGCAGGCGAACCACGTGCCGGTGGGCACCGAGGAGCTGCTCGCCCTGCCCAGCAGCGGCGAGGGCGACTGCTTCAACCTGTTCGAGACGGGCTTTTACCCGCCGGAGCTCAACCCCTTGAACCTGTGCGGCGAGGAGTCGGAGCGGCCTGCCAAGCGGTTGAAGGTGGGCATCGCCGTCCCCGAGCCCTTCCTCAACGAGGTGGCTGTCAGCAACCTGGGCGTGGACTTCGAAAACCACACGCACCACATCGCCAGCGCCAAGATGGCCGTGTCCGTGGCCGACTTCGGCAGCCTGGCCGCCGGCGAGACCAACGGCTTCATCAGCGCGCACGCCCTGCACCCGCACGCCGCCCTGCACTCGGAGTGAGCGGCGCGGGCCGGCGCGCGGACAGGCCGGGTGTGCGTAGTCTTTCACTGGAAGCGTGAGCGCCTTCTCTATGACATCAGTGATGTCAGTTTGCGTACGGACTATGTCTTGATTTGTCAAGAGTATTTCCCCGCTCCGGCCCGCGGATGGGGACGGGACGCACCGTGATGGGCGGAGTCGGAGGGGGGCCCCCCCAACTCCGTGGTGCGGCTCTAAGCTCCGCCCCTGCCTCCCCCGGCCCGTCTCCCCGCGCGGTGAGACCTGCGGGCGGGCCGCCGGCCCGGAACCAGCACCGGCGTCTGGACCGCGTGGAGCCGCGCCGGCGTGCCGGCGCCTTTGCCGTAGCGGATGCAGTGGGGTCACAGTGTTTACAGGGACCGGTCCTGAGCCCCGCTAAATGTAGCATTTTTTGGTTTTCTTAATTCAGCAAAAGCAGGGGTAGGTTTCTCTAAACTGCACAAACATGCAAGGACTTTTTAAACGGAAACTTCTCTCATGTTACTCAACTGGAGCGCTTCGGTTTACAGAGCAGCGGGGCCCTCGGGACGCCGCCCGGGCCCGGGGCCGGGGCTGGAGCCCTGGCCCGGCCGCCTCCGCGGAGCTGTCGCCGGGAGAGTGGGACGTGACTTTGTCGGCTGCACAGGTGGCGCTGGAAGGCGCGGTGTCTGAGTGGGGTTTTGTCCACCGGCGTCGAGACTGGAACTGTGGAAGCCGTGCCGGCCGCCGGCCGCCGGTAGTCGAGCCCCTCCGGAGGCCGACGGGCGCCCCTGACACCGCGGCGCGGAGCGTCACCGCCGGGAGGGGCCCCGGGTCTCACGTGTGACCCGGGAGGACCTCGGAGTGAGTTCTGGCGCTTCGTTTGCTGGAACAGTGCGCGAGAAAACGCGAGATCCTCTCGGAAGGAGGTGCGTCTCCAGCTCGCGTTCCCTCTCCTGCGAGAGCGCCGCCGCCCGAGCCCGGCCGCCCTGCCCGCCGCACGCGCGTCCTCCCGACCCGGGGGAAGTCGGGCCGCGCGTGGTGCAGTGTGGGGATGCAGTAAGCTTTGCTTTCCCGTTTCACTTCCAACAGAATCTTCCTTCTTTTAAATTTTCGCCACTTTAATTAAAGTTTTCAGTTTCTACTGGTGGTTTTGCTTTCCAGACAGCTTCCGTGCCTGGCTGCCCCGCCGGTCTCCGGCGGCGGCGGCGGCGGGCGGGTGTCTGTTCCAGACTCGGAGCCCAGCGCTGCCCTCCGTGGGGTGACGCGGGCGCGCGCGCTTCTCTGTGCAGCGTCTCAGCGGAGGTGGCTTCGCGGTGTTCACGCAGCCCGGCACGCGCACGGTCAAACGCAGTCAGCGCGGTGGACCCCGCCGGGAAGGAGTGACCCGGCGTCAGGCCGGCTGGTAACACACCCGTCCGCGCCCGCCGCCCGCTCCTCGGGGCTGTGGGCGGTGCGCGACGCGGGCCTCGCCGCCTCCGGTCGAAACCAGAGGGACCTCCGTCACTCAGCAGGCCACCGGCTGTCGCCGCCCACTGCCAGGCCCTTCACCGCCGCTCCGGGCTTGCGGCGGCTGCTCTGCGCCAAGTGGCACCCGCGCCCCCGCGCCCCGGAGCCGCCCCCGTGCCCCGGAGCCGCCGCCGGGTCGGCTCCGGGGCGTCTGCGTCGCTGGGGTCTGGGTACAAGATGGAAACAGTGTTTCTTACCTCCAGTTTTGATTGTCAGCAAGTTGAATGGACACTTTAGTTACTGTTTGAATAAAGGTTTTTGACCAAATCCAGAACATGATACGAGAGAGAGAAATTCCAGCTCCTTTCCTAGATCTTTAAATGCCGGTCTGGTTCGGCCTCTCAGAGAGTGCTGGCTGGCCGGCGACGTTTACCTTTGATTCCTTGTTAAAATAAGGCAATAATTTGCAAGGTTTTTGTACATACGTGTAAATTCTTCCTATCTTTTTAGATCTCACTATTTTCTGACTGCTTCTGCCGCGTACGAGGCCATGTCCGTGCATGCTCGATGTGACGTGTGTGAACTGCCACTATGACTTCACCCATGTAAAGTAGCTATTTATTGAGTTGCCTTTTGAAAGTTGGGTTTACTGTTTTTCCGCCTCTCCATTTAAGCGTCTTAACACAGAATTTGTTACTGTTTATTAGAAGAATTGCGTTTGAGAGCACGAAAACGACCGGTTTGTAGTCATGTGAAGAAATAATGATGCCTTTGTTATCAAGTGTTAAGCACAATTCTTATAACAAACTGTGATAAATTCTTTTTGGGTTTTGTTGTTTTTTGTTGTTGGTTTTTTTTTGTTTTGTTTTGTTTTTGCTGCATTATTTTCACACGAACAAACCAAAAATCCACGAAGAGCAGTTGCAGCGTCGGCCGGCGCGTCTTCAGTGCGCAGAGCCACGGAGGGGCCGCGGGCGCGGCCGGTGCTGGGACCGTAGCAATACTCCGCCCGCCCTGCGGGCGGCGCTGTCTCCCCAAGCGGGCTTCCCCCACGTCCGGGCTTCCTCTTGTCATGGTCAGCTGCTGGGTTTACTTGAAGGATGTACAATACTCTCTAAACAATACTAAAGTGGACACAATTAGGTCAAAGCATCGTGCAGTTGTTTCCTTTTAACTTGTGAAATTGAGGGGCGTAAATACTCGAGAACGTCCGCTCGGACGGAGCACGGTGATGCCATCAATTTAACCAAAGTCTCTAGCGAGTCTTTCAGCTTTGAATGTAAACTGATGAAGAAACCTGACCGACCACCAAGGAGACTGTTTGCCCAGAGTTTCAAAGCACATTGTCTGCAAGTGGGAATCGAGATAATTTACGAGAATATTGACATGACTATGTTTTTTAAAAAGTTCTTAATTTTTTTCACGGAAAGGAGGAAACTTAGTTTTACTGCTAAATGTGGTAGATACTAAAATTCTTAGATGAAAACAGTGATTCCAGTGGTCCCAGTGGGAACGAGCGCCCTGAGTGTGAGACTAATCAGCGACAATCAGAACAAGCTTCAGTGTCAGGTGTTCAAGAGGAAGCTGCTCTTGCCGCGTTGGTTTTAATATTTGTACATACACACCGATGTTTTTGAGCATTACTTTGTATTTGTTGTACTTTAATACCTGTACAGCGCCAGAAATAAAAACCTGGGGGTCTTTCTTTGCTTGGTTTGTGTGAGTGTTTGCCACAGATTGTGACCCAATGACGCGTCGGCTGCAGCACGTAGGTAGGTATTTACTGCTGAATCGGTTTTAGATGTAGTAAATAAGATACTTCTTTTTAAAGATTTTATTTATTTGTTTATTTTTAGCGAGGGGAAGGGAAGGAGAAAGGGAGAGAAACATCAGTGTGTGGTTGCCTCTCACATGGCCCCCCACTGGGGGCCTGGCCTGCAACCCAGGCACGTGCCCTGACTGGGAATTGAACCTGCGACCCTTTGGTTCGAAGCCTGTGCTCAATCCACTGAGCCACACCAGCCAGGGCAGATGTCGTAAATAAGATACTTGATAGGCAAGTAATAAAGCTGGTAGATACAGCGTTTCCTGTAAGTTTATTGTAACTTTCCACTCATGGAAACATTGTAGGAATCCCAGAGTGGGGACCATCTGTCGGTTTAATCCAGGAAGTGTTTAGCGAACGTCCCGTGTTTCCCACGCCGCTGTAGGCAACTGTGTCCTTCAGGAAGGCGTGACACCAAAATCGGGTCACATTATTTGACGACGTGTTTATGATAAATTAGTCGTCTCTATACTGTTCACAGTTCAGTAGACTCCGGAGGTATCTTCCCCAAGTCTCCGTCTTCCAGACTGAAGTTCCTCCAGCCTAAGCTCACGAGTCTGTGCCCGCAGTTCACTCGCTCGGACCAGAGCTTTCTCCGCAGCTCGCTCCTAATGGGATCTGGCCGGAGCGCGCATAACGTGCAGACTCTGTGTCGGACAGAGCAGGGGAGGAGGAACTCGAGACCCGACCCCTCTGTTTTCATTCCTTGTCTGAAACCACGTTCCTCCCCGGGCAGACCCCCCCAGGAGCCCGGGTGTGTGTGCAGGGCTCCGGGGGTGCCTTCGGCAGGGTGGGAGCGGGGGTGGGTTTCCGGAGGCGGCCGAGAGCCAGGGAGGGCTGCACAGGCCTTAGGCTTCCCCGGGAAGGCGCAGAGCGGCCTGGTGACGTCAGGACCTCACCCACTTGGGCCTGCTGCTGCTGCTGCGACAACGTCGCCAAGGCCGGGCGGCACTTGTGAGCGGGATGTTTTCATCACATACACTTTTCATTAAACTAGTCCCTCGGGCAGGGCACAGCTCACACTTAATACCATCCAAGCAAGTGCCCCCTGGGCCTCCCCCCATTTCTGTGTCTGTTGGGTCCTCAGGGCACTGAACTCATGGTCCTGGGCAGCAGTGCGTACGTTTTTCTGGGTGGGACTTGCGGGCCGACACTGGAGAGGCACGGCTGCCCCGCGCTGCTTGGCCTTGACGGGCCTGGCCGTGCGGACGGGGAGGAGCCAAGACGGCCTTGGGGGTCCCGGGTGCAGGAGTCCTCCACGAGCATTTCACAAGCACGTTGGCAGTGAGACTGGCCGTTTATCACCTAAAACATTGTTTTCGTGAAAAAAGATGTGGTTCTGCTTTTAAAAATAATTGTCTTAGCCCTCACCTGAGGATATGCTTGCTGATTTTAGGGAAAAGAAGACAGAAAAACGCTGATGTGAGAGCGAAACGTCACTCAGCTGCCTGCCATACACGCCCCAACGGGGGACGGAACCCGAAACTTCCTGGTGTACGGGACGGTGCTCCCCCCAAATGAGCCACCCACCCGGCCAGGGCAGGGCAAAGGGCTGATCTTCTTTAAGTGCCAGTAACGCCAAGCTCTCGGGCAGAGTCGCTGCCCTGCGTAAGCTTTTCACGCCCTGTGCCCTGTGCGCGTCTTCCGAGCAGGACCTGCATTTCAGTCTCAGCCTCCCCGGCGCCTCTCAGAGGGCGGGGACGTCTTCAGTGAGCGAGTGATGACACAGTGCTGCCCCTAAGTCCGTGGTGACTTTTCCCGGCTTCTTTCAAGTAAAACTTTTAAAAGTTAAGAGAACAGTATAAAGAGCCCAGACAGAAAATGAACATTTACCATCTTTGACCTCTGTGATATGCATGTTTTCTGGACCATAGCTAAAGTCGTCGGCATGGTAACGCTTCACTCCCACACACTAAGCCCGCCCACTCACGGTGCCCACGGGAGCCCGTGTCCGGGTTCTGGCCCAGATCCGGGTACGAAGCTCGGCTCCGCAAGGGGACGGGCTTTTTCACGGGGTGGGTGCCCCTGGTGTCACAGGGACTCGGTGGCACACGAGTCTGAGGAGGAGGAGGAGGAGGAGGAGGGCGTCTCGTGGCTGTGTGCATGCGTGTCAGCGCCCCGGGAGAAAGGAGGAGGCGGGACAGGGACGCTCCGGTGGGTGGCCGCCGGGAACTCGCGTCTCAGCAGGGGTGGCAGGCGAGGTGACGGGGGCATGAGCCCCATGGCGACCGGGAGAACGGCGGGCAAGGGGCTGTGCACGTGTGTCCTGGGGCAGTGGGGCTGGGTGGGGCACACCACGTGTGTGTGTGTGTGTGTGTGTGTGTGCGCACACACGTGGGAAGGGTGCAGCACCTACCCAGCACCGGAGGGGAAAGCAGGACCTCCAGCAGAGGCAGGGCAAGAGCGGACTTCGTGCCTCTGCGAGAACTGCACCTAGTGACCTGCTCTGGAGGGAGCAGGAGGTGACCAAAACCACAACAGGCTAAGGGGCGCTGCCGGGGGAGCAGGGGAGGGTGCGCGTCTGGCCACGCGGGCTCCGTGCTGGGTGTGAGGGCCCGGGAAGGAGCAGTGAGCCCGGCCTGGTCCGCGCTGGGGACAGAGTTGGATGCGGGGAGTCTGGCTGATGGAGAGCAAAGCAGTGATTACTGACAGAACCCTCTGGAAAAGGTGGCCTCGGGCCCAAGGGGGCTCACTCATCCTCTGTCACCGGTGGGCCTGGCCACAGATTGCCCCAGGACTTGCTGAGTCCACGGAGGAGGGCCTGGGGGAGGGGGCCTGGGGGGCCCCGTTCCCCAGGGACCACCACCGAAAGCCAGCCCTCCTCTGCGGGTGCAGAGAGGGTGCAGACATCCCCGACAGAGCCTCCCACGGGGTGGCACGGGGAAGGGGGCTGGGTGTCCCCGCCACTGCTGGCTGCGCATGACATCCCTGCCGAGCCACCTCCCACGTGCGGCTGTAAACTCGGGGTGTGTGACAAATGTCCGAGTGACGCAGAGAAAGGAGTGTGACGGCCCCTCCCCCAGTTCCTCCCTCAGCCAGCTCAAGCAGTCTTTAGTTTTCAGACACACGCCTACACAGGCAAACTCCAGCTAATTCATGGCAACACACACGTTTGGCTTTATTCTGTACAAATAAAGTTTTTATAGGAGTTCACGCACATCAACAGTAAAAGAATCGCTGGAGACATGGCTGAAATTTTATAAAGCGCCACAGATATATTAAATAAATGAGAGAAACATTGAAACTATAAGTTCGGGCAGTAGGCTTTCATTTAATAAGCTGTGGTGTATTTAGGTGAGAATGAGATAAAACTGGAATTGCACTGGAAATTTGACACCGTAATGCAGCAAACAGCTTTTATCGTGGACTTGAAACATAAACAAAATATCAATAGAAATAAAAAGTCCCCACTCCGATTGGCTCTCAGCACTGCGCTCTGCAGGTGGGGCTCAGGGAGAACTACCAAAAACGCCGACACCAACTCAGGGGCTGAGCGGGAGACCCACTCGGCCTCCCCTCCGGAGAGTCAGCCGACGACCGTGTAGTAGTTGGAGAGAAGCTCCTCTCCCTGTCCGATGTCCCTCAGCGCGACCAGCACCACACACCGCAGGGGGCTGCCGACAAGAGCACGCGAACGTTACCGGGATGAGCACGCACCAGCACGTGTGTTCACTCAGCCGCTGCGGGCTTCGTCCATGTCACGCTAGTCACGTCCCTCACTGCCCCCTTCGCTCCCGCACGACACGTCCCCACGAGGAAGTCGCTCTTGGCCCCGAGAGAGCATTCAGAAGTGGACCGTGTCACGTAGAAAGACCGCAGATGGGCAGGCGCACAGCCGACCACGTTCTGTGTGCGGGTCCTGAGGCTGGCGTCTCGGAAAGCACGTTAAAGCAACACCCACTGCAGTCCAGCACTCACAACTACCGGGTGTCTTGGAATTCTGCAGCATCGCTCAGAATTAACTGGGTCAGAAGGACTGTCCCTGGACACGACAAGACGTGGTGTTGTCCTCCACGTGCCCACTCACTCAGCATCTCCCGGGCCCGCGGGACGGCACTGCCACCGCGCCCCAGCGTCCACGGCAGAAAGCCTGGCCGTCGCGTGCACACACACAGAGAACAGCCACCCGGGCTCACTGCAGGGAGCAGCCTGTTTTAAACAGCCTGGCGTCTAAAGGACAGCTAACGAGGGCCCCCTCGCACCTCCCAACGGAGTCTGCTGGCAAGCGGCCGCTCGGTGAGACGGTGTAAAGAGGGTGCCCCCGACAGCACCGTGGACACAGAACTCCACGGACCACCCGTCAAAGGTTGTTAACTGAGTACTCTCGGCACGCTACACCGAAAATCAGCGTTACAGTAAAAACGTTAATCTCGAATATTTCTTTTTTCCCTGTTTTTTAAATTGCATCTTATTCCGTGATTTAAGTATGTCCGGCAGACTCTTGTTCCTCACGAGTCTCGGGCCTCACGGTGGAGCGGTGGCGGCGGCCACGTGGGGATCGGATGTGCTCGCATCGGGTGGGGTGCGTGGCCCGTGCAGTGACTGGGGGTGGGGGGTTCTGAAGAACTCGTAGGTAGGAAAGGCCAACATAGAAACCTAACTTGTAATTTCCCCCTAAAAAACCTCACCCCGAATCGTACCTAGCTTCTTTTAGACAGAAGCTTGTGTTTCAAGCGCACCCCGAGACGAGCCGGGCCGGGCTCTCCCAGGAGACACACCTTGGCTGGTCGCAGCCGTAGGCGACGTTCGGGAGGTACTGCTTCAGCTCCACCGGGAACGCCGTGGGCACGTCCAGCTCCTGGTAGCAGACGTTGGCGGGCCTTTCTGGGGACGAGCACAGCGCGTGTGGAAGCCGAGCACGCACTGTGCAGGCGCACGGAGAGCAGTGCCGAGTCGTGGCACTGGACACACGGATTTCCCCGAGATCAGAGCGTGCTCAGAGTAGGCTTTGCACATACAAAACATTACGTGTGTGTGTGTGTATGCTTTTTAAAAAAAGATTCACTCATTTTTAGATAGAGGGGAAGGGAAGGAGAAAGAGGGGGAGACACACATCAATATGTGGTTGCCTCTCAGAGGCCCCCAACTCGGGGCCTGGCCACAACCCAGGCACGTGCCCCAACCAGAAATGAACCAGCGACCCTTTTGGTTTGCAGGCCAGCGCTCAGTCCACTGAGCCACACCAGACAGGGCTATCTGTGCTTTTAAATCCACTTTTTGAAGATCAGGAAACAGGCTCAAAAGGTTAGAGGGTAAGTAGAAAAGTCAGGTGCTCGAGTTTCTGCCTCCCAAACGCCCAAGCCTGCACCACGCACAGCCAGACAGACGGTCGAACTCACACCCCCGGGGAGTGCAGCCCCAGGAAGGTAAGCGGCTCACAGGCTGAGTGGCAGGGAGGGGCAGCCGGCCCCGTGGCTCGGCTACGAGGCCATATTGAGGTACAGACCACAGCACGTGGGTTCTGAGGGAACCATGAAAACACGATGACATCAGAGATTGCAAGGGCAGTTACCAACTGCACGCATTTACTGCAAAACCAGACCAGTGAACTGAGTAACCCCAATGAGTGCTATCCGTTTCCCCCCTTTCTGTCTTTGCTTTTTGCCCCAAAGGGTTACAGTTCCAAACTGCTGAGATGTCCAACTCTGTATTCCAGACACGAGGCGCCCAGGACAGACAGATCTACAGAGCGGAAAGCAGATTAGTGGTTGCCTAAGACTGGGAGGTTCAGGAAGAAGTGGGAATCGGCTTCTATAACATAACGAGGATTGCGGTGATGGTTGAACAACTCTGTGAATTATACACTTTACATGGGTGAGGTGTCTGCTATGTGCATTATATCAATACAGCTGTAAAAAAGCAAAGTTAGGATCGAAGAGCTATGATTTGTAACAGGAGACGCAGATGGGAAAGGGAACAGAACAAAAACAAGCCGTGGAGGTGAAGGGTCAGATGGCGCCCCGTCACGCGGCCCCAGGAGGCGACTCACCGTTGGAACAGTTGTTGACGTACTGCCCCACCGCCAGCGGGTTCTGCGCGTCCGCCGTCAGCCAGGTGCAGTCGCTCGTCTGCAGCGGGCCGAGGCGGTCCCTTCCCGTGCAAGATCTGAAACAGGTGGAAGCACTGGCCAGGGGAGTCTTCCTCTGGGCCTTGAAGTTCAGCAACACAAAATCAGGCTACACCTGGAAGGGGGCTGTTTCTCCCGAAGAGACTTCAGTCTCATCCACGGGGCAGCTAGGGCCACGGTCACAGTCACCGTGCCGCGGGTGTGCCTCCTGTGATTAAACCTGAGCACGGGCACCGACTCACCTGTACACGACTCTTGATATTCCTCTGTTATTCCCATCAATGAGTATGCCATCCAAGCATCTGAAAATGAATGGGTTTCCAATAGACTGGAAGAAGATTGGCTCGTATTTCTGATACACTGTACCTATTATACAACAAGATAAAGACATAACAGCAGCACGTAAAAATCATAAACATTGTAAGGACCTTTCTCTGGAACGTAAACGCAACATGTACGAATTTAACTTCTCGGCTTTTTTTTAATCTCTTGCATCCAATCTAGACCATCACACTGTCTTTGGCTCTTTCCTTCCTTTAAAGGTGCCCAAGAGCAGACGGAGCCCAGGGCCCACGTGCCCGCACGGCCGAAGAAATCGACTTGGTTGGCAGAAATGCGAACACATTTCAGGCTTGGTTCTACAGAGTTATGGGGTGTGTGTCAGTGTGTTTGAGTGAAGTGTGACCTGGCATCCGTCAGAGTGTCACTCGGGACATGTTTGTGCGAGCGGCTGGTTGAACACTGCAGGCGTGTGTGGGAAGACAGGAGTCTGCACTCGGCCGTGGCCACTCTCATGGGCCGCAGCGGGAGGGGATGGCTACACACGCAGTGTGCCTCTTAGGTTCCAGGCGTGTTATCTGTCCTGTGCATTTTAATGTGAATTTTTTGCTGGCTTGTTCTATGTAGTCCTTACAGAGTTAACTGTACAGGAAGAAGCTGAGATGCCCTTGCTTAGGGATGAGAATTAGAAAATCTTGGAAGGACTTTTTGGAAACATAGTTCTATTTGACTTAAACATACACATATATTTTCCATTATACCAAATGATATGTTGGTTTAACAAGTGACATATTTGAGCATTCTAGTTAATGATTTTGTGCAAAGAAGCTGCTTTACTTTCCAAGTGCAGCAATGGCAGGAATGTCTTTACTCGGTGCCTCATGGGATAAAATTCTACCTCTCCTGTTTTAACCCATATCATTTTTAGCTTTAGCGATCAATTATCTAAGCCAAACTGATTTATTCTCTAGTGCTTTCTGAGTATTGAGTCTGATCCAAGAGGGCCGTACCTTGTTTTCCTAAATTTAAGCATCCACTAGAAACATTTCCTTAAAAGAAAAACATGCATTTATCCCAACAAATACTTATGAGTACTTTCTAACACATAAGATAATGTACAAACAGTTAGTGTCCAAATCAGGATTTAAAAATCCGTGGACGTCTGAGTTTCCAGTTCGACTCCTTACTCTGTGGATCACAAGGCCAGGTGTTTTGTTTTTGTTGTTTTGAACTTATATTTATATAACAAACTCTTGGCAAAGTACTAATTGGGCCATTACCAGGGTACATGGATACAACTGTGCCTTTTGGTGCTGATCCTCTGGAAACGAAGACCCCTCTTCCGGCAGAGACCAAGGAGCTGGTTGCGCAGGAAACACTGAAACCCAGTGTCTTGTACAGAATTTCTTCTGGTTTAACGATGTGACTCCCGTGATGTCTGTATTCAGGCGGGTTCCCCCTCGGATGCCGGACTGACAGCAGGTCGTGGTATTGTGATTGAACAGGCTCTGGCAGCACAGTCAAGACATCCGATTGTTTATAGAAATCATTGATGAACAGAGCCCGGAAGAGTCTCAGTAATGTTTCTAGGACGTGTTCATCTGAGACAATTTTGTCTTTCAGTTCCACTGGAACATATCGGAGGGTCCTAAAAATGGGAAAGATTTCTATTCACTACCCTTCAGTGTTAAAAAGCCAGCCTGTCTTGATGCCTTCTGGGCTACTGGCCTGCAGGAAGGTTATTCTCACGTGTCTGAAGGGCGGAAAACTTGCAGAGTAGTTTGGGGGCAGCGTTACCCAACTTCCAGTAATGCCTACCCACGTGTACAACGGCCAGGATTTAGGCAAAGGCCCAGTGTGTGCCAAACGTGGTTGGGGCCTTACGTTCCTTGTATCTCCCCTTTCCAGGCGGGAAACGGAAGCAGGAAGATGTTAGACACTTGCCCCAGGTCCTAACGTTAGTAAGGGGTGCGGGGGGGGGGGAGGGGCGGAGGCAGCAGCGCCCACGGACACCCGTGAGTGTCGCCGTGAGAACCCGCACATGCGCTGGGCTCTTTCTAGGCGTGTAGTTTCAAACACAGATGGATTTGAGGGAACGTCCTACAGGTTGTCACATTCTCCTCCGGGAGTACTTCCGTAATGACTGCATCAATTTCATTTCCGTGGAAGAAAGTTAACGGCGCGTCTGCACGCTCTTTGGTTGTCGACTGCTTTCGTGCACATCGCCTGGCGGTGCCCAGCACCAGCTCGTCCCTTGCGGCAGCCGGCGTCGCCAGGGCCCAGGCCACCGGCTCTCCAGGCGCCGACTCCGTACTCTGCATCCCGCACTCCCACCGTTTCACGGTCCTCTTCCTCCGAGCGGTTGCCCGCCCCGCCGGGCTGGGAGGCTTCCACCGTGAAGACCAAACCCGCTTCGGCTTTTCCAAGGAATTCCAGGCTCCTAACGCTGCGTCGGCGGAGAGATGGCTGCGCGCCCTCTGCTTTCTCCAACGTGGCTCTGGTTCACTCGGACAGGCAGCCTGCCAGCGCGGAGGGCCAAAGGGACCCCACGCGCGCTCCCCGCGGGCGACCCCGCAGGGGACTCCGGCCTGTCAGCGCGGGGTACGACGGGAAAAAGGCCCCAGGCCCCGCCCACCTAAAAGCTCCACGCCCCGGTCGGGCCCCCGACCCTCCTCCGACACCCGCAGCCTCCGCCGCGGCCCCGCCCACCTCCAGCCCCACCCACAACACGCGTGCGGCGCCGGGCCCTTCGGCCGCAGGAAGCCCCGCCCACTTCAGGCTGGGCCCGCGTTGCCCCGCCCACCCAGGCCCCGCCCGTCCAGGGCTCCACCCACCACGACCTTGCGGCGTCCGGCCCCTGGGCCGCCGGAAGCTCCGCCCGCACGAGGCTCCTGCCCCGCCGCGGGCCCGCCTGCGTCGTGTCCCGCGGCCGCAGTGGCGTTCCCCTTCGGCCGAAGGAAGGAGCCCGGAGCAGCCGCCTCGTCCCCTCACCTGGGGTTGCGGCTTAAGTTCAGCGCGATCCAAGGTACGAAGCGGTACTTGTAACGGCGCCACCACTTCCCCAGGCCCTGCAGCAGAGGGCCCGGCATGGCGGCCCGGCCGCGCCGGGAAGACGGCCCGCCCCGGCGGGGAGGGGCGGAGGCGCGTCCCGCCCCGCCCTCGGCTCTGCGCGCCACCCGCGCGGGGCCCCGGTGGCCGGCGCTGTGGCCACGACCAGCTCACCAGGGATGCGGAGCGGAAGGAGCCCGAGCCCGGTTCCCGCTCTCGTCTGGCCTCCCTACCCCGCCCCCCACCCGCCCACTCTCAGCCCCGTGGGAGCCGCGGGCCCGCCTGGCCTCCGCGCGGAGTCGGCCCCCCCGCAGCCAAGTCCAAGGGGGCCAGCCACACCCGGTGCCATGCAGGCAGGGCAGGTGGCCGTGGCGCGTGTATTCCGTTCCAGACTGGAAGGAAGGAAAACACGCCGCCGAAGTCCACTCATTGTGACGCCACGGAGCGTGCTGGCTGGCGCCAGGGGCCGGCAGCAGTTGCTGTGGGGCCCGGCTGCAGGCTACCTGGTTTCCCGGGTGGGGTCTTCAGTGCCCGCGGAAGAAGGGACTTTACGGTCTCTTCATCCAAGGGGAACCGGAAGGCACGAGTTGAAGCCTTACCATAGTTATATACTACCCCTAAAAATAAAAAAGCAATGTTTGTGTACACAGCAGTGCTGTTTTATTTTTAATATGTATCATGCAGTGTAATCCAGGACAAAGAACTTTTTGCCTAGACCATATTTCTTTATTTCCTGAGCTATAATTGACATGTGATATGATATTCTTTCAGATATAAAACATCGCATTCAAAATGACTGAGCGAGTGGAGCAACGAGTCTGCATCAAATTTTGCGTTAAGCTTGAACATTCGTCCGCGGAGACTGTTCGGATCATTCAGAAGGTTTTTGGGGACGACGCGATGAGCGCAGCGCAAATAAAAGTGTGGCACAAACGCTTCAAAGACGGTCGAGAATCTGTGGAGAGCGACCCGCGTTCTGGAAGGCCTGCCACAAGCAGAACCCCTGAGAACGTGGAGCGTGTGCGGGCTGCCGTCAGCCAAGGTCGGCGACGGACGGTGCGCGAACTGGAAGCTGACCTGGGGATCCCAAAAACTACCGTGTCCCAGATTTTGACACAGGATCTTGGCCTGAAACGTGTCACAGGGAAACTCATTCCACAGCTTCTGCTACCAGAGCAGAAAGAACACCGTGCCGCAGTTGCTAGTGACTTGATTCAAACCACTAGCAAGAAGGAGCCCGATTTCCTCAAGAAGGTCGTCACCGGAGGTGAACCCTCGGTCTGCACCTGTGACCCAGCAACAAAGACCCCGCCATCCCAATGGAAGTCCCCTGGTTCCCCACGCCCGAAGAAGGCGAGGCAAGGCCGCAAGATCAAGAGCATGTTAACTGTTTTTTGATTGGGAAGGTGTTGCCCATCACGACTGTGCCCCTCCAGGCCAAACAGTTGATAAGGAGCGCTACCTCAACGTTCTTCCTTGGTGGGGAGATGCAACATGGCGAAAACAGCCGCAGCTGTGGGCGACTGCTGATTGGCAGCTTCACCGTGACCACACGCCCACTCATGCATCACGTCTGGTGCAGAGGTTCTTGGGGAAACATCAAATCACCCAGGTGACTCAGGCCCCTACAGCCCAGATTTGGCGCCCTGAGACGTCTGGCTTTTCCCAAAATTTAAATGACTTTTGAAAAGGAAGAGACTTCAGACCATCGATGAGATTCAGGAAAATACAACAGGGCAGCTGATGGCGACTAGGAGAACTGTGGGAGGTCCCGAGGTGCCTGCTTGGAAGGGGACTGAGGTGTCATTGTCTTCTGCACAGCATTTCTCGTGTCTTGTATCTTCTTCAGGAAATTTAAGTCTAGTTACCACCTGTCATCACGTAGCTGCACGTTTCCTTGTCTTGAGGATGTTAAAAGATTGATTCTCTTTTAGCAACTTTAAAATGTGCAGTCCAGCATTGTTGACTACAGAGACTGGTGCAGACCTGTGGGTGATTTCCAGAATGGAGGCCCAGGGCGCGGTGGGCGCTGAGCCAGCCTGCCGGTGGGAGGCGGCCCATGGCAGGCGGGGTGCATCCAGCCGTGGCCTGGCGGGAGGACAGAGAACCCAGCCCCAGAAGAACGGGGGCTACATTCCTCAGCTTCTGGGTGTGAGACAGGTAGGATAAAGCGGTCCCCGAAATTGCTCCATCGGATTCAGCGTGTCAGGCCTACGGAACTATGGCGGCGTCCACAGGCAGCTAGGAAACCGCGGCCAGGAGCTGCCCCGACTTCTTTTCAGTTCAGTCTTCCGCTCTCAAGCCCGGCCGCCAACCGAGACGAGCCCGGGACCTGGTGGGGAAAGTCCCCTCCATCAGCCCATAATGAGCACCGCACGTCCCCAGACTGCTTTGCTCACCCGTCCATCCTGGAACAGCGGTGCACCAGCAAAGGAGAAGCCTGCTAACCGACCTCCCGATTGGCTAGCCCGGGCAGCTCCCAGGTTCCCGAGCCATAGAGCCCCTCAGCCCCACCCCCAGGGCACAGGCCCCGGGGCCCTCTCAGCGTTCCTGCCCTGTGCAGAGTCCCAGTATATCCGCCTGTACTTTCGCCGTCATCCCGGGTCCAAATTATTTTGTATCAGGAGACAAGAACCCAAACTCGTTGTGACAGCTTCTCAGTGATCTCCGAGGAGACTTTCATCTGAGCAGAGTTTGGGGGGAGTGGCGGGGGTTGGAGGAGGCAAGCTGTGCAACAGCCCGGAGTGCACCCCGGCCGGCAGCTCAGTTGCTTGGAGCATGGTCCCGAACACCAAAAAGTTGCGGGTTCAATCCCTGGTCGGGGTGTGTGTGGGGGGCAGCCAATCAATGTTTCTCTCAAATCAATAAACATGTTTGTTTTTTAGTAAATGAAACAGCCCCGAGTGGGTCAGCCACCTTGTAGGGAAAGTGGGGGCATTGCTGAGGAGTGAGGCCCAGTGTCTACCCGGGCTAGAAGAAGGGGTCCTCTTCCCGCCCGCCTGCGGGAGGAGAGGGCGAGGGGTGGGGTGGGTGCAGGGAGACTGGCTGCTGTGCGGACAGGCGATGGAACCCGGCCTCACGTGTGCCCCCGACGCGCCTTTATGGGGACAGTCAGTAGACGACGTGGAGCTTTGGCGCTCTCTGTCCAAGAGAGAAGTTCTTCCGACTGGAAGCGGGGGGACAGGCTCACTTTGCGTGGGTCAGGGATAGATTTGCAGCCCCTCTTCCGTGTTCCCAGAGAGGATTCACGTGTGTGTGCATGCCTGTAGGGGAGGGTCGGGTAGGAAGGAGGGGCATTTGAATAGTACATTGTCTAGTGTGGGCAAGATAACTGACAAATCTTCATTCACTGGTAACTGTACAGCTTCAAAAGATTCTAGTGGAGTTGAGAAAACAACTGAGGAACATTCAGTAGCAGTTACCCCAGAATTTCAGAGTGAGTTGCCGGAGCTAAGGAGCGGGTCGGAGGACCAGGAGGGAGAGAGGTGGAAGGAAGGGGCAGAGCATGGAGCCAGCAGTTCCACCCGGAGCCGGGACCCCAGAGGTCGGAGCTGGTTGCACGCCGGAGCCCAGGCGCCCTTTGTCTGCACCTGCTCCTGTTCCCTCTTGGGGTACAGTGGCGTTTCCTTGGGGTGCCACGGCCCGTGACGGAACAGCTGAACATGGCAGCAGAGAGGAAAATCCAGCTGTCTTGCATTAGCTGGAAATAAAATAGATTTGCAAAAATATTAAAAAATGCCGTTTTTCTCACTGTTGGGGAGACTTAGCTACTTTTCATAAGATATCCCTGCCAACGTGTACAAGACTTTTAAATTGTTATTTCAATACATTAATAAGCATGCACGTAAAGCCAATCTGTTTTACGACGACACGGTAGATGTCGGAGCCGTGCCCACAGACACACAAGGCCCCGGGGTGCTCAGATACCATCACAGGTGTCGCGAGTGCAGCGGCACGCCTGCTGAGCGAGGCACCCGTGCCGTGAGGCGCTGCTCTGAGAAGGACAGTGTGTGGCAAAGCCCCTGACCGGGCGTTGCGGTGAGTCCAGCTCCACGGACCAGTGGGAGGATGCTGAGGACGGCAGACACCACGTGTTTCGGGTGGTTTTGTGCTGCAGGGCAGACGGTGTTGCGTGGAAGGAAGCCAACGGTGGTTTCTGCTGGCCTCCCTCGGAAGGGGCCAAGGCCGTGTCCTCCAGCCACGTGACGTCTGTACTGTGGGAGACGTTTGCGGTGACCACGCAAGTCCGGCGGGACTGTGACGGGAACTGGGCCGTCCAGCTGCTGCGTGGTGGTACGTAGGCCCGTGGCGGCTGTGGGCGTCAGCCGGCAGTTCCCCTGCCATCGGCTCTCGGCTGCTTCTCCGACCGAACCCGGGCCCGGACGTCTGCAAGCCACTGGCGCCGGCCGAGGTGTGGGGGCCAGAGGACGGGCGGTCCGATCAGCGCGGACCCGGCGTTGGAGACCACGGGGACTCAAGTGCCTAGGCAGAGCAAGGCCGGGTCCCTGGGAAATGATGGAATTTGAGGGAAACTTGGGACAGGTAGTCACGGAATGTTCTTCAGCAGAGTGGGAGCGTGTAGAAATCGTTGGGCAAGCTCAGAGGAACAGCGGTTGGCAGGATGGGTGGAGGGGGGCGGGTGGGCGGGCAGGTGGGTGTGGTCTTGAGAGCAGGAGACAGGGAAGGAGCTGTCACCTGTGCTGACGCAGCCTGTCCTGGGCTGGGACCCTCGGAGGTGGGAGAACAGAAATGTCCCGTGTGAATGCACACGTCACGTCTAGGTTTTAACTTGGGAAAACAGAAGTCCCTGACTGCCCTGAGACTTGTCACTTTCCTGAGAGGGGCAGAGGTGACCACTTTGATTCTGAGAAGGGAGGAGGTCAAGTCTGCCTTTCAGGTGCTTGGCCGAGGGGACAGGCTGCCGAGACCCACCCTTAACGAGGGAACAGTCTCCCTCTGCTGCCCTCTGCTGGACGTTGTCACAGCCTCCGTCCCTGCCCGGCGAGGTCAGCGTCCAGACACACGCAGGCAGGGAAAGCAAAACAAAACAAAAAAGGAAATCAAGCTAAGATGCAAAGAGAAATTAAGCCAAACCAAAATAGATACAAACTTAGACATATTTTCCCAACTTTTTACTTGGAAAATTTCTGGCCAACAGAAAAATGCAGCGAACAACCATTCTCTTTCATGGAGGGCCACCGATTGTTACCATTTTCCGCGTGTGTCTTCTTCCCATTCCTTCGGACAAGTGCCCAGGAGTGCACTTGCGGGGTTGCACGGCAGTCCTGTTTCTGACCCCGAGGGCCCCCCAGACTGGTTCCCACGGCGGCTGCCTAGCCCGCACTCCCGCCGCCAGGGCGCGGGTCCCCTTCCTCGGCACCCTCGCCAGCACTGTGCCGTGTTGGCTTTGTGACGACGGCCGTTCTGAGGGGTGGGAGGTGGTGTCTCACTGGGGTTTCAGGTTGCATGTTCCTGATGATGAGTGAGTGACGTTGAGCATCGTTTCATGTGTTGTTTGGCCATCTGTTTATCGTTGTGGAAATGCCTATTCAAGTCTTCTGCCCATTTCTGAATAGGATTGTTTGGGGGTTGGGTTTTTTTTTTTTTTTGAGCATTTCTTATACATTTTAGATATTAACCTTTTATCAGTTATGTCTTCACCCATTCAGTTGGTTGTCTTTTTTATTTTATTGGTGGGTTGTGTTTTGTTTTGTGTTTTTTGCTATTCAGGAGCTTCTTAGTTTGATGTAGTCCCATTTGGTTATTTTTTCCTTTTGTTGCCCTTGCCTGAGGAGACATATCCAAAAAGGTATTGCTAAGACCAATCTCAAAGGTTTATGTCTACCAACAGATTGGACTATCTAGATGAAATGGATACATTCCTAGAAATGTACAATCTTCCCAAACTGAATCAGGACAAATAAGGAAATCTGAATAGACCGATTACACATAATGAAATTGAAGCAGTAATCAAAAAACTTCCAACAAGCAAAAGTCCTGGATTGGATGGCTTCACAGGTGAATTTTATCAAACATTCGAAGAACTAACACCTATGCTGCTCAAACTATTCCAAAAAATTCAAGAGAAGGGAAGACTCCCAAGTTCTTATGAGGCCAGCATTCTAATTCAAAACCAGATAAGGACAGTACAAAAAAGGAAATTATAGGCCAGTATCCCTGATGAACATAGATGCTAAAATCCTCAATGAAATATTGCGAAACCAAATCCAACAGTACATTGAAAAGATCATACGTAGCCCTGGCTGGTGTGGCTCAGTGGATTGAGTGCCAGCCTATAAACCAAGCGGTTGCATGTTCAATTCCCAGTCAGGGCGCATGCCTGGGTTGTGGGTCAGGTCCCCAGTTAGGGGCATACACATTGTGTTTCTCTCCCTCTCCCTTCCCCTTTCTCCAAAAGTAAATAAATACAATCCTTAAAAAAATTAAAAATAAAAAGATCATACACCATGATCAAGTGGGCATTATTCCGGGGGTGCAAGCTTGGTACACCATCTGCATATCAATGAAGGTAATATACCACATAAACAAAATGAAGGATAAAATCCACGTGAGCATATCAGAAGATGTAGAAAAAGCATTTGATAAGATCCAGCACCCATTTAAGATAAAAACTCTCATCAAAGTGGGAACAGAGGGAACATACGCAAACATAACAAAGGCCACATGTGACAGGCCCACAGTGAACATCAAACTCAATGGGCAAGAACTACAAGGTTCCCCTTAAGATCAGGAACAAGACAGGGATGTCACTTCCACCTCCCCCATTCATGTAGCGCTGGGGTCCTGGCCACAGCAATTAGACAAGAAGAAATAAAGGACATCCAAACTGGAAAGGAGGAAGTAAAACTGTCACTATTTGCAGATGAGAGCCCTAAAGATCTCACAAAAAACCCCTACTAGAACTGATAAATGAATTCAGTAAAGTCGCAAGATACAAAACAAAAATCCAGAAATCAGTTGCATTTTTATGTGCTAATAATGCACTAACAGAAAGCAAAACTAAGAAAAGGATCCCATTTACAGCTACATGAAAATAACTAACTAACCTACTGCGCCCTGACCGTTGTGGCGCAGCTGGCTGGGGCACGGTGTCACAAAGGGAAGGGTCGCTGATGTGATGCCCTGTCAGGGCACGCGTCTGGGTTCCAGGTTCCATCCTCGGTCAGGGCACATCCGAGAGGCAACGGATCAACATCTCTCTCTCACACTGATGTTTCTTCCCCTCTCTTCCTCCCACCCTTCTCCTCTCTCTATAAATAAATCTCTTAAAAGTTAAAATAGGAATACATTTAATTAAGAAGGTAAAAAAGGCCTGTACTCAGAAAATTGTAAGACACTAAAGAAACTGAAAATACAAATAAGTGGAAGTATATTCCACATTCATGGGAGAATTAACACCATTAAAGTGTCCATACTACCCTAAGCAATCCATAGAATGACACAATTCCTGCCAGGATACCAATGGTGTATTTCACAGAACTAGAATGTCCAAAAATTTATATGGAACCACAAAAGACCACAAATATCCACAGCAATCTTGAGAAAGAACAAAGTTGGAGGAATCACACTACCTGATATCAAAAAACAATAAGGCCATAGTAGTAAAAACAAACAAACAAACAAACAAAAAACCCCAGTACAATACTGGCATAAAAACAGACATTTGTATCAATGGGACAGAATAGAGAGCCCAGAAATAAACCCACAACTTTATGGCCAACTACTGTTTTACGGAGGAGACGTGAACATAACACAGGGTGAAGGAGTCTCATCGATACATGGTGTTGGGAAAACTGGACAGATACATGCAAAAAGGTGAAACTAGACACGTCCTTACACCACACACAAGAATAAACTCAAAACACATTAAAGACTTAACTGTTAGACTCAAAAATGTAAAAATCTTGGAAGAAAACATAGGCAGTAAAAGCTCAGATGTCTCTCATGTCCATATTTTTCCTGGTGTGTCTCCTTGGGCCAGGGAAATAGAAGAAAAAATAAACAACTGGGACCATAACAAACAAACAAGTCTTTCATACAGCAAAGGAAACCATCAACAAAATAAAAAGTCAATCCAGTGTATGAGAAAACATATTTGCCAATGATACATCTGATAAGGGATTAACATCCAAAATTTATAAAACACACCACTCAACACCAAAAAAAACCCCCCCAAAAATTAACTGAATAATGGACAAAGGATCTGAATAGACACTTCTCCAAAAAGGACATACAGACAGCAAATGGACATATGAAAAGATGCTCAACGTCACTAACCATCAGAGAAATGCAATTAAAACCACAATGAGATACCACCTCACACCTGTCAGAATGGCCGCCATCAACAAATGAACAAACAGCAGCTGGGGAGGCTGTGGGGAAAGGGGACCCTCGTGCACTGGTGGTGGGAACGCAGACTGGTGCAGCCGCTGTGGAAAGCAGCATGGAGGGTCCTCAGAAAATTAAAATGGACCTGCCTTTCGACCAGCGATTGCTCTGCTGGGGACCTGTCTGAGGGAACCTGACACGCTGATTCTAAGGGACACAGGCAGCCCTGTGTTCAGAGCCACCTGCCCAGGGCCAATCCCTCCCCTGCACCTGGCGCGGCCCGGGCGGCCTCCGGGACCACCTGCTCAACTCACACTTCGCGCCGCCGCCGGGGGCTTCCACTCTGTCCCCAGCCTCAGTGTTTCTCCTCCGTCCCGCGTCACCCTGGTTACAACCCGCACCCTCCCGGTGGGTCTACGCAGGTGCTGAGAAACCTCATTAAGCAAGTTGACTTTGAGGGAAAATACTACTTGTCATCTCAGAAACAGACGCAAGTGGGAATTTCCGGCCTGTGTGGACTGACCTTGGGTCACCAGGGCTTTGCTGCCTCTCACCGCCTGCCTGGCCTGGTTTTCTCGCTCCAGGTCGGGCAGGGCCACGGACCGAGGCCGCGGGGCGCGGGCCTTGGGGCCGGCTTGGCTGGGAGCCTGGCAATGGGCGAGGACGGAGGCCGTGCGGCCGAGGGTCTCGCAGCGTCAGCTGGCCCGCCGTGACGCCGAGTGGTCCCCTGGGCGCAGGCCGCATCAACTCTGTCTCCGCGGCTGGCTCCCTGGCACCTGCCAGCCGCGGCTCCACCGTCCCTCCCTCCGCCTCACGTCCCCGGGCCCCGGCCTCCCCAGGCTGGCACTCCCTTCCTGCGACTGTCTGTCTTCTACTTGCGTTTGACAAGTGGGGACCCAGGCCAGAGGGCCGAGAGCAGCCCCGTGCGGCGTTTGGGTTTTGCTTAGCGCCATAGTTCCTGATGAAAAGTTTGAGTATGTTTACATGTCAGGAAAAAGCACATAAAATCTACATTTCCAGCTCGTTTTGAAAATTTAGAGGCTTTGGCAACACCGGGCTTTTCCCCCTTTCATCCCCATGTGGCGGCCACTTGCCCCCCTCATACACGAATCTGGCCCCGGGGCTCAGGTCGGCCCCAGCTTTGCTGGGGACACTCCTGGCTGCAGAGGCGTTGGGGTCTGTGGCCTCTGGATCCCTCGTCCGTCCCACGAACACAGACTGCACCCCGAGGGCTGCGGGCACAGGCGCTCCTACTTCTCACAGTGCTGCCGCTCTCACTCGGTGGGAGCGGAGACGGGGCCACACCTCGGGCTCTGGGTCACAGTCCACCATCACCTCCCTTGCGTCAGCTCATCGCTCACGACAACTCAACCAGCCCCCCGAACGGTCAGGACGCAGGACGCAGGGAGGTGGTGATGTTCGGGGGTGCCTGTCGTCCGGCCACGGTTCTCCCCGAGGATGGCAGTTCCGTGTGTTCAAGTTTGGAATTCGTGAATCACAACGTCCGCTCACAGATGCGCACGTCGGCGTTTTCGTGTGAGCGTGAACGGAAGTGTATATTCGCACGGACACTTCACACAAAATGGTTTTCGACCCAGCGCTACTGAGGGAGGGGCCCTTCCTGTCCCCCCGGGCCGGACGGCACGTTCCTGACAGAGTCCGACCGCGTGAGGAGCACCTGCGGAGCGGGACGCGCGGGGGGAACGCGGAAAACCGATCCCGCCGCAGGTCCCACCTGGGACGGAGCCACCGGGCACTGTGGGCAGGCGGGGCGGGGGGGGGGGGGCTCCGGGGCCGCAGGGTCAGGTGGGCCACAGCCAGGATGCCCCCGGGGTGCCCGGCAGAGAGCAGGGAGCAGACCCCCACCCTCCTCCCCACGAGCGTGGCAGACATAACAGGATGACGGCCTTCGTGCTTGCCGAAAGCACCCCGTCGCAGCAAAGGAGCCGCGTGAGCAGAACCTGCTGAACTTGGCCGTGGCCCAGGGTATGTTTGTGTGCGAGGGGATGGCACGGTCGGTCAGAAGGGCTGAGGGACGGCTCGGGACTGACCGGGGCCGGCACACAGGACGTGACAGGCAGCAGCGCAGGACCTCGGCTTGGGTCCTTTTGCTGAGGGACCCGCCTGGGTGGCGGGCGGACCCCCGGGGGAGCCCTGGGTGGAGGGTCGAGGGAGCGCGTGGTGGGGTTCGGACAGCCTTTGGTGAGTACGGCGGTATTTCAAAGTACGTGAAAGGGGCAGCCTTTGTTCAAAAACTTTTATTTACTATAAAGACAAAACACCAAAATAGGTACAAATACTATAAAATTCGTTCAATGGGGTAAAAATTTTAATTAAAATATCTTGATATATTTAAAATAACAAAGGATACACTTAAGCCAAATTTTCTTAACCCAGAGATTTTTTTTTTTGTAACATTTGCTTACATAGTAAGGTGCTAGTAGAAGTCAGCCCTTAAGCCCTGGAAGTCTTAGGAATCATAGTCACACGGCAAATAGGGTTCAGTGAGAGAGTGAGCTTTGGTAGAAGAGAACTCTATAGGTACACCTGAGGTAGCAGAGACTGGGACACACAGCAGTAGACGTGATTTACAACTCGAGTACCAAATAACATTAAGAACGCAAAAATAATTACACAATATAATTTTCAGTCCAGCTTTGATCCAAAGAAAATAAGAATATTACATCACACTTGCATTGAAAATAAAACGAACGAACGAACGAACAAACAAACGCCACCATTACCAGCCAGCTGAGGGAACCGCAAACCGACCGCAGCCCCGGACACCGACCCCCAGTGCCCGGTCTGGATGGCGGAGGGCACGGAGCCCTGCAGCGAACACTGACGGCCGAGCTTGCTCCGTCGGCGAGCTCTGCGCCTCCCCCTCCCCCTCCCCAGGGCCCACCTGCCCGGAGACCCTCCAGGACGTACAATGGCAAGAATGTATCCGGGAAGCCTGCACAGGAGAGACTTGGAAACGATCGTAATTAGAGCCGTGAAAATTCTAAGCAGCCCAAAAGAGGAGAGAAAATTATAAAGTCAAGTACAACACGTTTAGACCTACCAAACTTCACATTTCAGCACAATTTTTAACTCTTCAAATATTGCCAATCTTCCAAAACCAAGGAATGTAAAATTTCACTAAGAAACACATTCACATTTAAAAACTGCCTTTTAAAAATCATATGCAACGCATCCCTGTAAACTCATCTGGTAACTTGTTTTACTTCCAATTTGTGTCGTGCATTGTACATGCACTCTATGTAGCTTATTTAGTTTATCCTGAGTCTTTGAGAACAACCAATTCTGTTTCATCCTGCCACGACGCAACTGGCTTCTGAAGAGTTAAAACTTAACATCTCAAAAAGGTGTATTAAATACTTAATCAGTACTTGATTTAAAGAGTCACACACACAAAAAAACCCCAACAGGAAAGGACACAAGAGCTGCCATTTTCCTTCCGGATTCCACGTGTCCGAACTCAGCAGCACGGGAACCGTCAGGTGTCCGTCTAAAATCCAGTGAATCGGCATGTAAATGAGATTCAATTTCACTTTTCTTTATGCACACGTTTTCCGAGTTCAAAGCAAACCCTTCGTTTGAAAACATCACTACCCGCTGGTGGCTGAGCAGTGAGGTTCGTTTTCTGTCGTGACCTATCGGCGGCCTCCCGGCCAGAAGGAGAGCAGCAGCCCCACGACCCCCCGCCCCGTGCCCCCCGGCGCCCACGGGCTGGGACCCGGGGAGACTAACTGCTGGGGCGCGGCCTACAAGCCAGACCAGCGCACCCCAGACACCCCCAGGCTTCACGGTGACCTTGATCTCGGCTGTGAGCTGCATCGAGAGAACAGTCGCTTTTCACTTACATGTAACCTGCATGAGGAGAGCAGTGACGGACTCAAATGAAGGTAGTGGAAATCCCAATTTTAAAAGCAAATGAAATTCCGTATTAAAAAACTCTTGCCACAGCAAGATATTCAGTAAATGCTAGTTCACACCTAGTTCTATTTTTTTCTGGCTTGAAAAGATCACCTTTCCCTGAATATTAAACAAAAATGAAGGTGAAGTGAAAATACAGAACCATAACTTCCAAAAGTGAAATAACTGGGCCAACAGTAAAATGCACAAGAACCACAACTACCCAGGCTTTAAAAAAAAATAAAGGTCAACTGTGGCTCATGAAGAAGTTACAACTTTAAAAAATGTGGCTTTTCACGGCTACTCACAGCATATGCTGACCTAAGAGAGGCAGACACCGATTGGTTTCGCCGGGGACGGGAACGGGAACGGAGCGGGCGTCAGAACCCCGCGGCGGCACCGCGGGGCACGGGAGAGAAACGGAAACCGGAGGACGGACCCCGAGACCCCCCTCGGCCAGCGCTGCGGGAAAGCGCTCCGACACGTGGCGGGACGACGGCGTCCACCAGGCACGCGCACGGCCGCGCGCTCCCGTCCGCCCGGGGCCGGTTCTCCCGGAAAGGCACAGTTCGCGGTCCTGCGCAGGCGCAGGGTGTGGGCGCTGCGGGCGGAGCGCAGGCGCAGACCATGATTTGTCGATCACGTGCTTAGGTACGGGCACCCCGCCAGGCCGCTCGCAGCAGTTCAGCGGCCGCGAGGCCAGCAGGCTGCCCACGTGGCTGCCCGCGTGGCTGCCCACGGAGGTTGTCTCGTCGAGCGTCCCGACTCCATCGCAGCTCTCGGCCGGCTACCAGGCCGTGCGGAAGACCGGGTGCTTCAGCAGCTCCCTCGACGGAGGTCTGTCCTGAGGCTGGAGCTCTAGACAGCGCAGAGCCACGTCCCGCAGCCCGGGAGACAGGTGGGGCGGGATGGAGGGCGCCGTGGTCGCGCTCGCGATCTGCGGGAGGAAGAGCAGAGCTGCACGAGGCTGCGTGAGGCTGCGCGAGGCCGCCGCGCCCGGGGCCGGGCGGGCTGCCGCCCGGTGGGGGCCGCGGGGCGAACAGGGGGCCGCGAGGCGGGTTTCCGCTCAGAAGCCCGCGGAGTTCAGGCTGTCAGAACTTGGTCGGACACACCCTGACCGCTGGACCCGCGCGGGCCCTCCTGCCTCCAGTGAGCCGAGCTGCGTGCACCCCAACGCCAGAGCAGTTCGGTTGCCCCGCGGGTGACCTCTGCGCCCTCCCGCCCCCTCCCCAGCACGCGCGGCCCCGCGGCTGCTCCGCACCTTCCGGCTCTGCAGCACAGAGGCAGCGGGAGAAAGGCTGGCCCCTGCCGGTCGGCTGAGCGGCCGGGAAGCAAAGCGCGCGGCCCTGGGGGCCTGAATGGGCTCCCTGGGCGGGAAGGACCGGCAGAGGCGGGGCGGGGGCTGGCCCAGAGCTCCCGACTGTCCTCAGAGCCAGCCCGGGAAGTGGGTGCTGTGTGACGGCCGCTTTGCAGACGGGGCTAGTGCCTTTCCGGGTCACGCGGCCGCGAGAGGGCGGGCCCGGCGCACCCCGGTCTGCCCGACCCCGGCCCTCACCCAGCACGTCTCGCAGCCCGAGCACCGCCTCAGGCGGGAGGGAGAGAACGCGACCGGCGTTGTCAGGGAGAGCAACCAGAACCCGGCAGCTCACGGGGGCGCGCTTTTAAAATACAGAAGATAGTAAACTAGACTTTAAAAACGAGCTTCGGTGTTTAAATTCGGGAGTTTGCTGTGTGTATTTATGTACACATTTCAGCCAGGAGCAGGGCTTCGGCGCTTGCTAATTGCATGGTCACAGCAGCTGGACGGAGCCGGTGCTGGGAAGAACGGACCTACTGCACCCGCCGGCCCCGCCCTGCCACACGGCGTCCCGGCAGCGTGTCTGCGCGCACGCGTGTGCACTCGTTTATTTCCAGAGCACACGCCTCCCTGTGAGATCGGCAGTCACGGAGGCCCCCTGCCGGCCGCCCCTCCGTTACCTTGAAGATCAGCGCCAGGTGGTTGGAGTGCTTCTCCGCGTTCCACGGGGGCTTGGCGCAGGCCATCTCGATGATGGCGCAGCCCACGCTCCACACGTCGCAGCTCCGCCCGTACTGCTGGCCTCGCAGCACCTGGGGGAAGCAGGTGTCAACGGGAGGAGGGGCCCTGGGAAAGGTGGCGCGCTGCTCTGTGGCACAAAGGTGCGACCACGATCCCGTGGACTGCCAGTGTCTTGTTCACTTCATGGACGAGCTTAACCCACACGCGGCACAAAACTGTCTGGGCGAGTGGTGAGGTGCTGCAGAGTCGCCTGAAACCACAGAGCTTCACAGCCGCCCCAGAGCACTCCACCAGCGATGGGGGAGGAAGAAGCGGGAATCGCGGTGTTGCAGCAAGGAGCTCAGACCAGCAACACCTGACCTTCGACCCTGACCCCAAGAGACCTGCTTCTGTTTTGTGTGTTGTGGGTTCACTGCAACACGACCACTGCCAATAGCCGGACAGCACTTTGCTGAAACAGCCTGTGAGCACCTCCACTGAGACCCGTCTTTAAGAATCGTGTTAAGATGCAGAGGGAAAAGCAGGGCACACTGGGCAGCGCTGCTAGTGACCTGGGTGCGACACTGTCCCCGGAACTCCCGGCACACGCAAAGCCGCTCCTCACCTCTGGTGCCATGAAGGCAATGGTCCCCAGCAGCTGCCCCTGGAACTCCCCCGCGCCAGTCCCCTTCGACGCCAGCCTGGCCGCAGCCCCGAAATCGGCGATCCTCAGCCTCTGACCCGTGCTGTCGATCAGCAAGTTGGCACCTGCCGGCAAGCACATGGGACGGATCACAGACTGGGCAGGACGCTCCGAGTGACACAGAACAAGGACCAACGAAGGAAGAGGACCACGAGGTCCAGAGAATTCACTCTCTCAGGTCCCTGCGCCGCTGCTGCAGGCGCCGGGGCTCTGCAGTGCGACGTGAACGCAGCCCAGAGCCCCTGGGGGAGACCTGGCCACGGGTCCGGCACGAGAAGATCCAGGCGGAGATTCAGGGGAACGCTGAGTAAGTGTTAAAATCCTTTAACAGAGTGATTCCCAGCGAAAATCTTCCTTCAAAATCCAAATTTTAGTGTGGTTTACGTTTTAAGTTCAAGTTCTGTTGAAACGTACTGACATAGACCAAGTCAAATTACTGTAATTTCACAATTATAGCTTAATAAAAAATTAACAGTTTTAAAAAAGATTTTATTTAGTCAGTTTTTAGAGAGGGGGAAAGGGAGAGACAAAGAGTGGGAGAGAAACATGAATTGGTGGCCTCTTGCACATGCCCGACCTGGGAGTGGGACCATAACCCAGGCAGGTGCCCTGACCGGGAATAGAACCAGGGACCTTCAGCTTTGTGGCACAACACTCAACCCACTGAGCAACACTGCTCAAGCGAAAACCAAATCAAAACCAAAAGTTGTTAAAGTACTTGAACCTATTATGCCAAATACTAGATAAAGACACTCGTCAGAAAATCGAAGCTGTGATCTATGGAGACTCCCAGCCGAGATGGAGGCGTAGGCAGAAACACTGCTTCCCCGTACAACCAAAGGAGGACAACAACCAACTAAAAAACAAGAAATAACCGGAACTGCCAAAAAAATCAAACTGCATGGAACTCAGACAACTCGGGAGTTAAAGAAGCGTTCGTCCAGACCAGCAGGAGGGGTGGAGACGGGCAGCCGGGCAGGCAGAGAGGACCTGCAGCTGGCAAGGCGGGCTGGCAGGCCGGCAAACTAAAGACTCGAAGCCTCTGGCTGTGAAACACGGTGGGGTGCGGAAAGGGGAGAAACGCCCAGTCTCACAGGAGAGTTCAGTCGGAAGTGGGGCTCCAGGGGAGCGAGCCACACTGTTCCTGCCCTGACCCCTTCCCCACAGATGGGGGCGGGGGGCGAGAGAGGCCACCCATCGATGTTTCTCTCTCTTTCTTTCTTCTTCCTTTCCCCTCTCTCTAAAAATGAATAAATAGAATCTTAGAAAAGAACTCCTACCTTTAACATCTCTGTGAATGATCTGGTTTTCGTGGAGATACGAGAGGCCACGGAGTAACTGTTCAGTGTAGTTAATCACTACTGACTCCTTGAAGGCTCCGTATTTACTGAGCAAATGAGCCACAGACCCCCCTGCAAGACAAACACAGAACAGGAGTAATCATCATACACTGAAGCCAGAACGGGAATTATGTATCACACTTGAACGACACCAAGCTGCACTTGTGAGCTCACATCCACACCTGCATTTGAGATGTGCACTCACACTCTGCGTCAGAAGGGAAACTGAGCTAGAAACTAGCACAGCTGAGTCATCTCGAAACCTATCAATTAGGAGACTTTCATGGAACCCTCATGGACTAGTTTTTTGGAAGGTCAAGATTTCAGAAAGTTTCAAAAGTTAACAATTTTGCATGGAACTATTTCTTACATGCACAATTCGCTTGTCTTTTCGACCGAGATGCACCGAGCGCCTGTGTCAAGGCCGTGAGCAGACGGTGCTGGCCTGTCACGCGGCAGAGGAGGGAGCGGGCAGAGCCGCAGACCCAGCGGAGGCTTGGCAGCCAACTGCTCCCCAGCCGTGACCTGGAGGAGCCTCAGGAACACGTGTCCGTACTCACCGACCCCCACGGCACCACCGACCCAGCCACGGCCCACACCGAGCATGCACTCAGGGACGGACGGCGGACGGCGGAGGTCGAGGTGGGCACCCCGGGCCTGCCCTGCCACAGACACACCAGGCTACAACCAGGTGGGGCGACCGAAGACCAGCCGAACAGTGTTTCCGGCCCCACGGATGCAGAGAAGCCACGTGGAAACACGAAGGAGGGGCAGAGACAGGTCTGATCAGGACTCTGCCACAAGCATGGTGACTCCTGAGTGGGAGAGGAGCCACTGCCCAGTGGTCCCCCCGCCCCAGGGGCACTGCACCAGGAGGAAGACCCCTGACCACCCCCCGCCCACATGAAGGGAAACTGCCGGCGGGACCCCAGCAATCCCGGCCCCGCTTTCCCAGGAAGGGGCATTTTATCTGCACAGGAGACCCTGAAGCACCTGCCCCGGGGACCAGGGGACTGGGCCACTGGGCCCCACGAGACACCTTCCACCTAGGACCATGCATACAGGACTGGGAGGTGTGGCTGATCTACCGAACACGCAGAAGGGATACAGAGGGAGGCAAAACTAGGAAATGGAGGAGCATCTTCCGAATGAAAACACCGCAAAGCCTGAGAGACAGCGCCCAGTGAAACAGGTGAGCAGTCCGCCGGGCGGCACACTGGAGAGGACAGCCAGCAGGACGCGGGGGAAGCACGGCGGCGCCCTCAGGACGGAGCGGAGGTGAGGCTGCGCCCCAGGGAGCCACCCAGCGGGTCAGAGGACGCAGGAGAGGCGGCCCGCGGCCGGCAGGACAGAGGAGTGAGTGCGCGGCACCGCGTCTGAGCAGCAGCAGGAGCACGGCCTCTAGCGGGGGCCGCCGAAGCGACCCCGGGGACAAGGTCAGGGTCCCAGCAGTCACGTCATGGGGGGAGGGTGGCAGAGGGAGAAAAGGGACAGGAAACCTGTCTGGAGAAATGACGACTAAAATCTGCTCCTCCCTGGGGAAGGGCACAGACAGCCAGGTCCAGGGAGCAGAGGCCCACCCAGGACGCGCCCTCATTAGAGCGAGGAGGGAGCCTGGAGGGCAGCTGGTTTCCCGCACGGCCGCACCCGAAGCAAGGGGGGGGGGCGGTGCACAAAGCGTTCAAGGTGATGAAGGGAAACACCTCCAGCCCAGAGCAGGCGGCCTGGTGCGGCTCGTGCTCAGACACGAAGGAGAGAAAGAGCCAAGCCGGCGGAAGCCGAGGCAGGCCGCCGCCACCGACCCGCACGGAAACGCCCGCCCGGGGGCTGCAGTCGGCAGCACAGGGGAGGCCGGAAGCGAACACGAGAAAGTGCAGGGACAGCTCCCCGCCGGAGGACGGAGGCGGACGCTGAGCGAGACGAGGGACCGGCTGACCCGACGACAGGGCTGGTGCGAGGGCGGCGGGAGGGACAAAGGCAGAGAAGCCACGGGCGTGCACGACAACTAACGCGGGAAACGACTTCGACCACACAGAGCGCGGGGGCGCTTAGAACGCGCTCCGCCCTCGGCGACCGCCGAGTCACAGGGCTCCCGGCTGTCCCGCCCCGGGACCTCGTCCCGCACGGGGACCCCGGGGCAGACAGGCAGCGAGGACGGGGAGCCCACCGAGCGCGACTCCGGCGGAGACCGCCGGTCCCTGGAAGAGAGCGGAGGAGCGGTCGGAGGGCAACGAAAACTACGAGGAGACAGTGAACAACGGGACGGCCGTCAACACAGCCCGTCGACCTCCACGTGACCTTAAGTGGGGTAAGTGCTCCAGTCAGAAGGCCCGGGTGGCTGAATGGGCGGGAAAAAAACAAACGCCCCTCTGCGGGCGCCTGCAAGGGACGCACGCACGTCGGGCGCGAAGGCCGGCGGACCGGAAGGGAAGGGCGGAGGCGGTTGGCAGGCCGGGGGACTACTGGCGCGACTGCGCGGAGGGACACAGGAGGGCGCGCGCAGGCTGGCACAGGGCGGCGCGGAGGGACACAGGAAGGCGCGCGGGGGCGGCCCAGGGGCGGTCTAAGGGGGCGGAGGGACAGACCGGCGGCGGTGAGGTCCCGGGCCCCGCTGGGGGCTGAGTGGGCAGGAGCGTTCTCTCGCGTTCCGAACGGTTGTGGGGTCAACCCCTGGTCGGGGCGCGGACGGGAGGCCACCGGCGGACATTTCTCCTTCGCGTCACACCGAGGCCCCCCATCACCTTCCTGTCTCTGGAGTCCACAGACGCTCCCTCAGGCGAGGTGAGCGGTGAGTAACAAAGCCGCCGCAGGGACGCGGGCGAGCCCTCTGGACAGGACACCGAGGGAGGAAGCCCGGCCTTCAGGCCGCGGGGCCGGGCCGGCGGCACCGGCGGAGCGCGCCGCCCGGAAGAGGCGGGAGACCCCCTTCCCCGGTGCGCACGGGCCGCTCCGCGACAGGCCGTGCGCTGGGCCGCGGGGCACGTCGCAGCAAACGTAAGACGCCCGGGATCTCACAGCACGCGTGTCCTCCGACCACGGAAACGCGGAACTGAAACCAGTTAGGAGGAGGAAACCAGAAAAACACAAACACGTGGAGACGAAACAACAACATTCTCCTGGACCTGCCGCAGGATAACAAAGAAATCAAAGAGGAAGTAAAAAACGCCTCAAGACACCACGCGAACAATCCCACGTACAGCCGCATCTCAAGAATAAGGAAATAAGTTCGACCAGAGAGGCGCGAGGCCTGCTCTCTGGACGTCTGAGACCGGAGGAGACTGCAGGGGACACACGGGTGGAAGGGCGTCCCGTGCTCACGGGCTGGGACAGTCAAGGTCTTTCAGATGTCCAGACTGCCCGAAGCAATACACAGATTCGGTGCAACCCTATCAGAACACCAACGGTATTCTTCTCAGAGCTGGAAGGAATGATCTCACAGTTTACATGGAACCACGCAAGACCCTGAGTAGCCAAAGCAATCTTGAGAAAGACGAAGAGGGCATTCTTGAGAAGGATGGTCCCTGATTTCAGAACTATACTCTACAGCTATAATAATCAAAGTAGGACGGTACTGTCACAGAACAGACACACAAATCAACAGAACAGACTAGGAAGACCAGAAATTAACTGACACTTATATGGTCTATTAATCCACAACAAAGGAGGCAGGCACGCCCAAGAAGGACAAGATGGTCTCTCTGATACATGGTGTAAGGAAAACCGAACCACTTTCTATACCACACGCAAAAAGAAACTCCAGATGGATTAAAGACGGACACGTAGGACCTGGAACTATGAAACTCCTGCAAGAAAACACAGGCACAAACTCTTTGACATCAGTCTTAGTAATATGTGTTTGGGATGCGTGTCCTCAGGAAAGGACAACAAGAGGGGAAAAACAAACAAATGGGACTACATCAAACAAAAGCTTTTGCACATTAAAGGAAACCATCAACAGAACAAAAAGTCAACTGCTCAGTCGCCGGAAAACATTCACATTGATATGTCTGATAAGAGGTCAAGGTCCGAAATACACAAAGAACCCGTACAGCTCAGTATCAAAAAACCAAACAACCTAAAAAAGAAGAGAACAGGAAAAGGAAAAACACCCCTAACAAACCTTTTAAAAATGGGCAGAAAACCTGAATAGACACTTCTCCAAAGAGGATATGCAGATGACCAATGGACATAAGGTGCTCAACAGCAATAATCAGAAAGATGCAAATCTAGATCACAGTGAGCTATCACCTCATGCCTGTCAAGATGGCCATCAATAAGTCCACAAACGACAAGTGTTGGTGAGGACGTTGAGAAAAGGGAACCTTGATGCACTGCTAGTGGGCATGCGGAGTGGTGCACCCGCTGTGGAAAGCAGTATGGAGATATCACAAAAAAAATTAAAATAAAGCTACATGTGACCCAGCAAGTCCACTCCTGGGTATTCCTCTGAAGACAGAGAAAGCAGCGATTGGAAAAGGTGTGTGCGCACCCCTACGTTCATCGCTGTGCCATTTACAGCACATGAGAAATGGGGGCAGTCTAGGTGTCTGATGGCAGCTGCGTGGGTAAAGAAGGAAGAGCGCTGCTCGGTCACTAGGAAAGATGAAACCTTGCCATTTGTGAGACCCGGGCCGGACCTGGAGGGGTGTGGTGTACAGTGACGTGAGTCAGGAAAAGACAAACCTCAGGATCCCCGCCACAGGCGGCAGCTGAAGGACATGCAAACGAACAAGTGGGACGGGACGGAGACATGAGCGCCGTCGTTGGGGAGAGGGCGCGGGGGGGGAGCCAAGAGGCATGAGCACAGTGAGTCAGCCGCGGGGTTGCAGCGTGTAGGACAGGGACAGGAGTGTACGGCGTTGCCCTGACTCTGGTGACGGGTGGTCAGAGACTTCGAGTGCTGGCCCCTCATAAGGCACGTACGTGTGGAATCACCATGTCGTGCGCCCGTGCACACACTGTGTGCCACTGCGCCTCCACCAGGAAGGACTGATTTGTAAGTGGGCACATGCCCTTCAAACACAAAATGCAGTGCCATCTTCCCTGGCTGGCGTGGCAGACAAGGTTCAACGTCACACACCAGTGCCAGCTGCCTAAGGTGAATCGTCACGTCACCTCTTAATCAGTGTTAAGACATTTCTTGTACCTGTCCAATTAATGAAAGCCACCTAGAAAAATATGGATCTTATACCTAGAGGATAAAAAAAACAGTTCCTATAAAACAGTGTTACATAATCATTTTAAAAGAAACGCCGAAAAAGCGTAAGAGGTAGAAGTGATGGATGCTTTACTTGTGTCTCCGTGAAGGGCAACACAGTGTCCACCGTTCACCCCACTGCATCGGGGACAGCCCGCTTTCAGAGGCTGGGCTGTCAACAGAAAGGTTGCGTGTTCGCTAGCAGAGCACTGAGCCCGCGAGCTGCGCCCCCTCTGCAGCGTGGAAGGCACCCACCTGCCATCCACTCGATGAAGAGGTTGTAGTTGCTCTTCTCGCACGTCGCCCCCAGCATCCTGATGACGTTGGGGTGGCTCAGGTGGCTCATCATCCGTATCTCTTCCCTCAGCGCCTCCACCACCTCCTCCTGCTCTGACGATGTGTTTCTGACGTACGTCACCTGTGCCAAGAAACCCCACGCTCACAGAGCCTGGCGTGGCCACGGTCCCCGTCCCCATCCCCGTCAGCAGTCTGACCCGGACAGGTCTGCACGAGCTCCTCTGTTACTAGCCGACGGCGTTCATACTCGTGGGTGTGACGTAGACCCTTTACAGAAAACCTGGCCCAACTCTCTGAGAGAGTAAGAATCTTGCTTTAGAACCAGTGAAACGATCAGGAAAATGACCAAGAAGAAAACGGGCCTGGCCAGTCCTCCGGAACCCCCCGAGGACGACGCTGAGTGGGGACACTCGGTCCCAGGGGAGGGGCTGGCGTGAGGTGGGAGTGCGAGCACTCGAATCTCCCTGGCTCGGCGAGCGTCCGCACTCTGGAAGGCGGACCACAGAGCCCTGGGGGCACGTGCGCGGGTCCCCTCGCTGGAGGGAGGAGGGAAGCCCAGCTCTGCCAAGAATACAACACAGACGAGGCCCCAGACAGCCTGCACCCAGAGCCGTGCCCGACAACCTCGCGCTCACTTCCCCAGAGCGCGTGAGGCCTCGGCACCGTCCCTGTTGAAACGGAGGTTTCCGGAAACCTGCAGGCCCGAAGCCTGAACACGCAGGGCCGCTCGCTCTCAGGCCCGTGGTCTCAGCCGCTTCTGTCCGCACTGCACACGCACCTGTTTCACAGCCATCAGGGTGCCGGTCCCCACGTCCTGGGCCTGGTAGCAAGACGAAAAGGCCCCCAGGCCTATCTGCTGGCCCTTCAACCACTCCACGTCTTCCCGGTAGGGCAGCTTCGCCGTGGTGTGCCCCGGCAGGGTCTCTGGCGTCTGCACAGGGAATGAGAGCATCTCTTGACCGTCACGTCAGAAAAGGGAGAGGCTGTGGGGCTGGCCTGGCCAGACCCTGTGCTCGCTGTCTGGCTTCCCCAGCCACCTAGGGACTGTGCTGGTGACAAACGCCCAGGGCAGAGGGGCCACCATGGCGAGGCCAGACCAGAAGCGCCCCTGAAACAGGCAGGAGCAGTTCTGTCCCAACGGTGACACAAACACTACAACTAATTCTACGAGGAGAACCCCCTTTCTAACGAGGAGCTCATGTTCAAGCGACGCTTCTGCGCAGAGCGCACGCCGGTCCGCCCCGGGAAGCCCGCACTCACGTCCTGCTGGATGATGATGACGTCCTCCCCGCCCCCCACCTGCAGCTGCGGCACGGTGGGGAGCGCGTCCTGCGACGCCGACATGGCCATGGCCATGGCCAAGGCCTCCTCCTCCTCAGCCTCCAGCTTCTCCTTGCACTTCTGGTTGTGGGTCATGTCGTCTTTGTAGGTGTTGTCGCTCTCGTCCTTTTCAGGGGAGAGGACGGCCACCTCCGACTTGAAAGTGACTGTGGTGTCACTCGAGGGCATGGACGCCTCCAGGAGGTCCTCGATGCTGGAGTTGAGCTCCGCGTTGACATCCAGCCTGCCCTTGTCCTCCACAGGGGTGAACACTGTCTGGTCGCTGGGGATGACGGCGTGACTGCCACTGCCGAAGCTGCCGTCACCCCCGCACGGGCCGTCCAGATCGAGGGCCAGGCTGTGCTGGGCGGCATCGCCCTGTTTCCCAGAACTGCCGGGGGGCGGCCGAGATGGCTTTGGCCTGTGGATGGAGCTGGAGGGTGGGGGCCCGCACTGAGTGAAGACTGGGGAGAGCTTGTCTGAGTCTCTGTCTTCAGAGCAGTTTCTCTGGAGCTGCAGGGAAAACTTGCGCTGCGTCTGGGGGGATGCAGAAGGAGCTTTGCAGGGAGCGAACCCCTGAGGTCTGGGCCTGGAGCCGTCGGGCACAGCTGGGGCGGAGGAGGACGGGGCTGACAGGGCTGGGGGGGCGAAGGGGGAGTGGAGGGAGAGGGGGGACGAGCTTAGACACTGGCTGAGGGGTCTGCCCTTGGTCTGCATGGCGGGCTTTGGCTGCTCTGTCGTGGCCGAGCCCGAAAGCCCCACGGAAAGGCCGGCCAGCCTGTCGGAAACGTCCTCGGAGCTGGCGCTCAGCCTCGAAGCCCGCAGGCCCCTCCCAGTTCTCCCCGTGGGGTCCGTGCGCTCGGCGGGGCTGTGCTCCACGGCTCCCGGGGGGCTGTCACGGCCCGACACCCGCAGGAGGCCGCCCTGCCGACTGTCCAAAGCATCCTCGCTGCCCAGCTGCAGGGCCTCGGCAATGTCCACCTCCTCCGCGATGGCCATCAGCCGGCGGCGCATCCTGGCGAAGTGGGCGGAGCTGGACGCACTCAGCATCTCCAGCAGCCTGGAGAACACCCGGGGCACGGCGGCGACCATCCGCGCAGAGCTCAGGTAGACCCTCCGGGAGAGCTTGCCCACCATGGCGTGGGGGTTGTCGATGGACTGCAGCGCGAAGCTCAGGAGCGACAGCAGCTTCTTGTACCTGTGAGGGAGATGTGCCGGGTTACCACACAAGTCACCATTGCCGCAAAACACATGCAGGCGGCAGGAAGGTGGGGTCAGCCACAGCGGTGTGCCAAAAAACCCCGAAGTGACCCACCCAGACTTCAGGTCTTGATGTGAGTCAGAGCAGTAGCCACACACACAACCTGCAATTTCTGCGTCTTTCATGAACCTAAAACATAGTGTCAGTGGGGGCTGGGGTGCGCGCTGGGGCAGGGGGGCAGACAAAAACCCACCTGACTTCAACAGGCTCAGCTTGGGAAGCGTCAGAGCTAACGATGTGGGGGTAGAACTCAGCAGGAAACTCCAGCAGCAGTCTGTCGATCAGGCAGAGGCGGCCCAGGAGCTCTTGCCAGCTGTTTAGTTCCGTTTGGTTCCCAAGAATACAACTCACGACAAAGTCAACACCGCCGACGCCAATGGACCCTGTAGAGAGGAAGCAGGGAGTGACCAACACGGGACGATGCTGAGGTCTCACATGAAACGAGCTGATGGCAGCGGGCGACCCAGCACCGGGGCTGTGCTGGGTCAGGGTCCACTCTCGTGGGTTCTCGTGCCATTTCTGACGCCCGCTGACGGAATCAGCTTACACGTCACCCTGAAATCCCGTAACTGTGGCACCAGAAGTTACGAGATTGGACAGTCTACTAAGGACAACAGTAAACCACGCTATATCAATGTTAAGTAAAAAGTCATTACCAGCTTTGAGTATTTCTCTGCCAACCGCCAACTCCCCTGCTTGGCCCTTGCAGAGCTCCAGCAGCGTCGAGATGGACAGCTGGCTGGTGCGGCTGGAAAGGAAAGGATGCAGCGTCAGACTGGGCGCTGGGCGGGTGCGCACCGGCGGGGCCGTGAGGCGGGGCCGGGGAGAGAGGTGTTCCCCAGACTGCCCGCCTTTCCACCGCCGAAGCTGCGTTTATCATGGTGCCACTATGAATAATCATCAGTGGGTCTGTTCCCTGAACGCTGCCTCGCCCTCCACAGCGAGCACAGAGTCTTCACTCCCGGCTCTCAGATGGCAAGCACTGACTTCAGTGTCAAACCAGGCAAGAGAAAGTCTTGCTTCATTAGCATAGCTTGTTAAAATGAAAAAGACTCAAGACATTTTGGTTTCTTAATTTTCAGTAGACTTTCCTGAAGTGAAAAGAAAATCTTCCTAATCCAATCCTTTGTATTCTCTTATATAGCAGAATGAGTTCCAAATACAAAAATCTCTTCACGGTATTTCTTGCAGCATTCATTGAAGCAACCCAGTAAACAACCTGAGCTTAACATTTTAGAAAGCAGACGACGAAACAAATGCAGCAAGAGCACCGAAGGTCTCCGAAAAAGACTCACTCTAGCACTGGAAGTGCCGTGAGTTTTCTGTGCGTCTCACAACCGCTAACCTGCCTCGCGGTTCTCAGGGTCACAGCACTGTCGCTGAGCCACGAGAAAGCCCGAGGCTGCCAGCCTGTGGGCTCGTGCGCCAGAGTGGGTGGGAGGCAGGCTGTGCGAGCCAGGCGCCAGGCTGGAGCTGAGCAACCGGCGCTGAGCCCGGCACACTGCGCCCCATGACTGAAGGGGGTGGGGCGCTGCGAGCAGGGACGACCCGGGACCCCTGACGCTCCTCACCGCTGAGGCCTGGCACACGCCCATCTGTGTGGCTGTGCGCTCAGCGACAAGGAACCTTCCCGCCGGTGGGGCAGGGCGGGGTGGGGCAGGCGGGAAGAGGAGCCGGGAGTCTTGGGGGACGCGTGGCCGTGCTCCTCGCTCCCGTCCTCGGAACTCACGCTCCCCCCTAGTCCTTACCCTCTAACGAGGGTCACTCTGGTCCCTTGTCGATGTTTGAGGAGGATGCAGGGGTGCATGGAGTTGGGGGATGGCTATTATTTGACATCAACTGTCCTAATTAGAGTGAAATTCCACCGCACAGAAAATAAGGACATTGCTTCTTTCTCTGGGAGGGGTCCCAATGACCAGTCGGGCAGGAAGACCCCACTGGACCCTGCCCTGTGTCACCCAGGCTCTGAAGGGGAGTGACGCTGACAGTCATGCATGCCGGCTACCGTCCCGCTGGCCGGCCAGGAGACGAGGCTGTCCCTGGACGGCGAAGGGCTCCCACGCGGAGAGCTCGGGCAGGTCCTGGCCTCGTCCTCCCCAGGCCCGGGGCCTCCCTGAACACACACGCACCCGGCACGCGGTCTCGCCTGCCGCCACCAGGGGCACGAGGCGGCGGGGCTGCAGGGCTCACCTGTTGGAATCTGCGCACTTGACCAGGATGGTGTCCACCACGGGCCGCAGGAGCCGCTGCAGCCGGAGCCGCTCCGCCAGGCTGTGGCATGGCGTGTACACCAGCATGGCCCGAAGCGTTTTCTGGGGGCGAGACCGGGCTCAGGTCAGCCGCCCCAAGGGCGTCCGAGAGCGGGAGCCGCCCTGGGGCAGTCTGACGGGGGGGGGGGGGCGCAGAGACGACAGCGTGGCCATACACAACTAGAGACTCCGTGATGCACGGGTGCGATCGGACAGACAGACAGATGGGGTAGGGAAGAGCTCTGTGAACTCTTCCTGCAACTTTCTACAGTCTGAGTTAATATTAAGTCAGGAAAACTACTTTAAGAAGAAAACGAGAGCAGGAGCCCACCTGACAGAGCCCCCAAAGGCCAAGGCAGGGATGGCAAGCAACACAGTCCTGGGGGGCACTGAGTTGGGGGGCTGTCGGGGGTGGGGGGCAGGCGCAGGTGGACGGGATGCTGGCCTGAGCGCCGGACGGCGCACGGGGGCCGCACGAGGCTGCATTTTGTGTGCAATGCATTCTAAACCGTTAGAGGGGAGTGTCGGATGCTCACAAGAGCTCTCAAAGGGTTCCGCAAAAACTATGCAGGGCAGGGGGAGGGAAGGGGAGGAGTTCTAAGGCCAGGGGCAGTCTCTGCCGCCACGGGCTGGACACCCACCACAACTGTGGAGGCGGCGGGCCACAGTGAGACCTGGAGTCCCTGCACTGGTTGGGGGGGGGGGCTCGCAGGCTACTGGGGTGGTCCCTGCACTTCAGAAGAGACAGCCAGACCGCAGGCCGTGTGTGGGGCGTGCCGGCCCCAGGGCTGTGCGGAGAACAGACCATGGGGAGACAGACTCGGGAAGTGATGCGCCCGCCCCGTGGTGCCCAGTGCACTAGCTCACCGAAGGTCTGCCAGCAAACTGACCCAGACCGCCCAGGGACACAGTGCTTGCGACTCCGGAGCACACTGAGCCTCGTCCTCACCGCCCCGCCCCCCCACGCCCTGCCCTGCGGGCAAACGCTGCTGGCCCCAGAGCTGCTCGCAGCTTCGGAGCCAGGCAGAGGCCCGGCAGCGGTGGAGGGGTTTCCATTTTAGACCCAAGCAGAAAACGCTTCCGTTATCTTATGGTGAGAAAGCGTGAGTCTCAGAGTCCTGAGGTCACGCTGCCAGCAGACGGGAGACCCTGACCTTGAGTCAGGGGCCCTGTGCCTGGACCCTGTATGCTCCTGGTCGTCCCGCCCCCTCCAGAGACAACTTCCGGCGGGTGAAGCTGGAGGGGCCACTGGGGAGTGATCTGCCGTGGAGCCCGTCTCCCTGGGCGCATTCCCGCCTTCCCACACGGGGACGGTCACTGAGAATCAGCTCCCGTCCACGACCACCAGCAGCAGGTCGAAGAGACTAGAGTAACCGACCGCCCTGCTCTCCCCGGGTCGAGGGCTTTGATTTGGTCGTGTGGGAGGGAGACGTGGAGATGTGAGCAGCACAGCACGGCTGCAGCACGCAGCACACGGGTGCAGCACACGGGCGCAGAGGGAAACAAGTGAGACCCAATGGATGAAGAGATCAAATGGGAAACTGCAATTTCCTGGGACCATGAGAGGAAAACCCAGTGACGTTTTCCTGGACGCCGGCAACGCTAAGCAAGGACCCAAGGAGGCCCGGCCGCCCGCCCTGAAATGCTGTGGTTACGGAGTGAAGCTACTTACTAAAGCCGCAACGTACACTTTGTACACGGGGTCCGCACACACCATGGACAGGACGCTGCAGCAGGCCCCCACCACGTCCGCTGGGGCACTGGGCGCGGGGGGCCCCGGGGCGGCCCCGGCACTGGGGCTGCCCCCGCCCCCGGAGTGACCGGCACTCTCCCCGTGGGCCAGCAGCAGCGCCCCGCTGACGTCGTGGGAGAGGCGCCGGAGGGCCATCTCCCGGATGCTCCAGTTCCTGGAGAACAGGCAGCCGACGAGTTCCGTCCCGAACACCTGCAATCACACACACGGAGCTCAGCGCGCGGACACGGAGCACACCTGAAGCACCCAAGGGCAGCCTGATCTCTGCGGCTGGAGGGAAGCTGGGCTGGGCTTGGACCTTCACCGTGCACTCGGTCCTGAGGACATCCAGCCACCTCGACGGCGTCGAACAGGAAGGTACGCCCAAGGCTGGGTGGCCATGACAAACAGTCCTCGACACCTACTAGTCCAGGTGAAGTGAGGACTGAACTCCAGGGACTGGACGGACAGACCCCCACGCCCACCCCAGGACAAGACGCGTCCCCAAGGAGCCCCGGCGTCGTGCTCGCAGTCAGGCAGCCCACGGGGGAGCGCCGAGGCAAGACCAAGAAACGCCAAATCGAGAACGGCCTGGACGCAGGGCGCCTCTCCCAAGGAGTGGCGGGCAGCAGAGCTTTTACTTGGGCTTTGTCGTGCACGGAAAGGCTAAGAAAACTGGACGGAAGAGGTGGGACCGCAGCTGACAGGGTGGGAAAACCGAGACAACAAAGGAGAAAACGCTCGTGCTCCCATCAGCGGGGGCGTGCCCCACCTGCGGCGGACCTGTGCCACGTGCCCACGGCACAGCGGGCAGCCCCTGGCCACAGAGCCGCAGCCCGGCCGGGAGACAGCGTGCGGGCTGGACCCCCCGGGCCACCTCGCTGGGAAGGAGGGAGCTCACTGCCTGCGTCGCCTCACACGAAGGAGGTTCCTAAGGACTGGGGATGAGGACACGCTTTTGGGAAAACAATCGTGGCATTCGCACACGTGTGCGTGACGGAAGTGACAGCGGAGGAGAAGGACCCCCCCCGGGATACAGTGCTGGCGCAGGGTCTGTGCTGGCGCTGGCAGGCAGCAGCCGCTCTCTGGGGCTCAGCGCCCACCGACGGGACAGTGCTCACGAAACACCGGGCGTGTGCAGCCCGGCGCAGCCTGAAGCGTGAGCAAAGCACGTGAGGCCGCAGCCCCGGCAGCCAGCACCTTGGGGTCGACCTGAGAGTCCTCTGGGGGCCACCAAGGGGCGGGGGGCCTGTGCCAAGTGCTGCTAACGAACTGGGCAAGGAAGGGTAGGTGGTTCGGTTTGCAGGCTCCACTGGACTCGCCACAAGCGCCGACCCGAGGAGTGGACGCTGCAGGACACACACGGGAGAGGGGGCCACCCCGGGGTCCCAGGTGGGCACCGCCATGCCCGTTCTGGCCATGAGGGCACTAGACGGGGCCGGCTGGGCCGCCGATGCGTCGTGCTCCCTGGGGCCCCTGAGGACACTGTCCGGTTTGGATCCTAGCTGACACGGGTGGCACTGAACAGCCCGGCCCCCGAAACGCCGGTCCCCTGGGGGGACAGACAAGAGCTCCCAGCGGGAGAGGAGGCGAAGGAGGGGACTGTCCTCAGAACGGGAACTGCCTCAGCTCAGGGGGCGCTGTGTCTCTGCTCCTGTTCCCGCGCCCCAGCCACGAGAACATGGGGTGCAGCGGCTGCGTCCACACGGCCGCAGGTGAGGACAACAGCCGCGCTCTGGGGGGTGGCGGAGGCCTGGCAGGCGGCTCTGCCCCGGAGGCCGCAGTGGTTTACGTTGGCTGTTCAGAGAGGTGCTTCCGGAGGCTGAGCCCTGAGCTCTGGGACAAGCAGCCCAGCGCGAACACCGGCGGCGGCGAGATGGACGTCGTGTTGGTTAAGAGCCCGACTGGAGCGACGCGAGCACCTTCTCAGCGCAGAAGCTATGGGAGGACACGGCCTCCACCGCCTGCAGCCCTCTCCTCGAGGGGGGGAGCGAGGTCGCTTACCTGGACCCAGGGCTCGGCCAGGTCCTTGTGCGCCGGAGGGACCTGCTGGGCCCCAAAGTGGGTCAGGTGGAAGCCGCTCTCTGGAGTCCGGCGCGGCGGCTGGGCGCTGGGCGGCTGAGCGGCCCGCAGGGAGGACGGGGCGTCTGCAGGGCTGGACAGCTCGTGACTGGACAGGAAACCAGCAGGGGCTATCACACCCGCCAGGGCCGTGCAGCCCCGCGGGGACGCCGTCACCCCCCCAGCGCGCCCAAGCCGCCCCTGCAGAGCCCTTACCTGTAGAAGTCGTGGGACCTCCACTTGGACCTGCAGAGCGGGCAGATCAGAGGCTCCCGGTTCCTCCTGCACTCCTCCGCCCCTGGGAGGGGGAGACCGCGCGTCGTCACGTGTCCGCACGGCACGGCGGGCAGGGCTCGCGTGTGGGCAGGGCCCCCGCGGACACCGCCGCCTGGCACTGGCCTGAGCGCGGGTGCCCAGGTGTGCCGCCGCCGCCGCAGCCGCGTCACTAGCCGCCGTGGGCACCGCGCCGCATGCACGCCCACCGCCGCGCTGGCTGCCCGTCTCTGCGGCGCCCAGGCCACCCCCAGGGGGGTCACAGTCACGCCCCAGCTCCCCGCACCGCTCCGCCCGCGACCCGACCCCACGTCTCGGCCAAGGCGGCTCCTCGGACCCCAGACCCCGAACCGCCCTCCGCGGCGCCCACACGGCGCTGCAGCGCAGGCGGCAGTCCGTGGGGAGGTGCGGCAGCGCTGCACGAGCGGCAGCCCAGGAGCCGGCTCTGGGTCCCTGGGCGCACGGCCGCGGCCCTGCCTGGGCCCCACTGTGCACACGCCTCTCCTTCCCTGACTGGTCTCCTCGAAGGCTGAGTTCAAATCCCAAAGGAGGTCCAGGCGACCCTTGCACGACAGGGTGTCAGGGGTGCTGGTGCCCCGCACCGGCAGCGAAAGCTCGAGGAGCTGCTGACACCCCCCACCTTGACTACGGGGGGCTCCTGCCAACGGAGCCCCAGGGCCCGTGGGCAGGCAGGCAGCACCCAGTCCAGGTTCCACGGACAACCCGCTGCGTCCTCAAGGGGGGCGCGCTGCCGGGGAAGGGGGGCACACCCACGGCAGGCGGGACCGCCCCTCGCCCCGCCCCGCCCCGCCCCGGGGAGGGGCCCGGGCACCTACAGATGGACATGCAGTGGTGGTGCAGCTTGTTCCGGCAGCCGTCCTCGCACACGGTCAGGCTCTCCTCGTCCAGCATGCCCAGCAGGCAGATCGGGCACAGCTGCTCCTCCTCGTCCCTCCCGCTGCAGGTGCGCAGACGGCGGCCGTCAGCGCGGGCCCGGCGGCGGCGCCACGCCACGCAGTGGCGGCGGGGGCACGGCGGCTGCTCACCGCTCTCCACTGGCCACACCCCTCCTGTGACACGGACACCGACGCACCCCTGGTGCCCCACGTGCCACTCGCAATGCTGCGGTTCTCGGGACCGAGCGTCTCTGTATGTGCGTGCACACACACCGTGTCCACGCACACGCACTCACGTGGCTTTGAGCGTTTCCCACCCCGGCCTCTGACTCGGAAGCCAGGACCTGGGGGGGGGTCCCAGAGCCCCTTAGCGAGGAGGGTGACACCGCCGGACCCTGAACCACGCGGCGCCCGCCCCCACCCCTGGGCGGGGGGGTACCCACCTGTTCTCCGAGCTCGACGCGGACGTGCTCGGGGAGGACGCCGGGTGCGAGTGCGACATGCGGGACACGAACTTCTGGATGGTGCTGCGGGACGGGGCTTTGATGCGCGAGCTGCGCCGGCTGTGGTACTTCTGGAACAGGCTCTCCACCTGACGCGGGGCAGGGGGTGGGGGGGAGGGGGCGGCGCTGTTCGTGTGTGGTTGGACACGAACGGCCCTCCGGGTTCAACCACGCATCTTCTCCTTCAGGAGGTTTTCACAAAGCCAACCTAAGAGCTTCAAAACTAAGCCCTGGCTGGTGCGGCTCAGTGGACTGAGTGCCAGCCTGCGAACCAGAGGGTCACTGGTTCGACTCCCAGTCAGGGCACATGCCTGGGTTGTGGGCCAGGTCCCCAGTGGGGGGCCATGTGAGAGGCATCCACACACTGATGTGTTTCTCCCTCTTGTTTTCACCCCCTCCCTTCTGTCTAAAAATAAGGAAACAAAACCTTAAAAAAAAAAAAGAACTTCAAAACTGGGAATGCAGGCAGCTCACTAAGGGCAGTATTTTTACAGTCGATCAGTGTTCACTTGCTTTTCGGTCTAGAAGGAAACACCAACTCTTCAATGGACCGTAGGAGAACTGTTCACACCCCCGAACCTTCGAAACGACCAACGTGCGTGTACACTTAGAGCTCAGGGACAGTTTAGGACACACCCCCTAACAACTGCGGACAGTTTCACACTAAAGCATTCGCGTCAAATCACCTCAAAGTTCTTCAGGGTCTTCCTCCACAGCAGGGGGTCCGAGGGCTCCAGCTGGAACACCCGGAGCATCACGAAGAGCAGGTGGATGCAGAAGGCCCCGCGCCCGCAGCTGCAGTTCTGTGGGTGAAGCAGCGACTGCTGAGGCCCCCGCGGTTCCATCGGGGCTCCCCAGCCGACCGCGTCTCAAAGAGCGTTTCCGAGTCGGTCACACTCAAGTTTCTAGTGCACAGCGTGCAAGAAAAATCTGCAGCTATCTCCAAAAACCAATCTTAGTCTGGTGAATTTACTGGTCACGTTTGTATTCCAGTGTACGTTGAGTCGCAGTGAAAACCTTCGTACACACGCTATAAACATTCAGCCCAGAAGCTACTTTGGACTCTCTGCGGCTCACTGAGCGCGCCCCAGGCCCCAGGCCCCAGACCCCAGGCCCCAGACCCCAGCCCGCACGCGCGGCCGCGGCCGGCCCTACCTGCGGCCCGATGAACACCCGGTACTTGTTGTCGGGGCTGTCCCCGCCCACCAGGAAGGAGTTGGGCCCGATCTGCTGCAGCAGGTAGAGCCGGGCCCGCATCACCTTGTTGACCCGGCGGCTGGTCTCCTCGGGGCTGTACGGGGAGAAGCCGTCCGGGGAAGGGGCTCTCCGCGGGGGCGTGGTCCTCCCACTCTGGAACTGCAGGACGGGGCAGCGTTAGCCGACCGCGCCCTCCTCCGGCAGAGGCGCGCACCCGGAAAGGCCTGCATCAGGCAGCGCCCGGCCTCCGAATCTGCAGACGACCTGGACACTCAGTGGAACGGGACGAAGCGTGTCCTGCAGACGCTTCCACCGGACTCGGTCACTGTGCGGGACCCTGGGGACCCTCGGCCGCCCCACGGGGCCAAGGACAGCTCTCCGGCCGAGAGACAGCCCCGTGGCAATGGTACGGATTACAAAGACCCGAGGTCTCTGACAAGCACCATGTGAACCCGAGTCAAAAGCACACGACGTTCACCTGGTAAGCTGGCAAAACAACTTCTTTCTACGGAACCTGAACACCAGCTGCTCCCACCAAAGGTGCAGCTGGCACCTCACCCACAGCTCCTGGCGGGCGGCTCTTCCGACCAGGTCCCCTCCCCGCAGGGGCGGGCACTCGCAGGGCCAGGCTGACTCGTGCCACTCCAGGGCTCCCCAGGGCTCGGTCTTCCCGTCAGGGGCCCAGGGAAAGCCCGGTTAGCCCCCCCGGCCCCAAGGCCTCCGGGAAGGGTGAGGGAGAAGTGCTGGTGGGACAGGGACGCACAGGGCTCCGGAGACGAACCCAGGGTTAGCGGAGCGACACGACCGCAGCAGTGCCCACGGCAGCACAGTGCACAGGTGGCAGCGTGTGGAAACGGCCCCAGTGTGCGGCCCCCGCGGAGAACGAGGGAGCCTCTGCCTCGCGTCCACCCCAGCCTGGGGGGGCGACCCCGCGCACCCGCGGTGCACGTCCCCTGTGGTGCGCCGACTCTAGCCCCAGGCGTGCGGCCAGCTTCAGGCGTCAGGCACCTGGCACCCACACACGGGATGCCCGTGCCGGCTCGGTAGGAGCCTCTGGGTTGGGACACGCCCTCTCGAAACACTTCTGCTTGGGTTTTGGCTCAACAGGAAGCTACTGTCTCACAGTCCCCGAGACAACAAGGCACGGTCGCGGTGCTGGGAGGGCCGGGCCCCCGAGAGGGAGGGCCCCGCCCGCCCGGTGTGTGGGCTGCTGAGCTAGTAACCAGCTGACCCGGTTTCAGGCAGAAGCAGCTAACTCGCCGTGTGTCCGTGTAGAGCTAATAAACACTGTTGGTGCCTCTGGCTTTACCGTCAAGGTTTCCACCCGCAGCTCAGTTCTGCAAGGGTCTACGTGCTTGAACCACGCAGACCCGAGCGCGGCCACGCCCTCTTGCCTTGTGGGCATGTCGCCGTCATCTTCCCGCTCTCCCATCCACTCTCCGAGGTCGGAGAGTCAGGGTCCCAGCGGCCCCCACCGTTCCGCACGCCGCTGTGATGTCTGGCTCCGCACAGACGACGGCTGGTTCGCACGACACGTCTGCGCCCGGGCAGCGGTGGCACGAAGCGCCGTTGAAACACGCAACCGTTCCCCTTTGATGCCGCCCCAGAGGCGCAGCGGCTGGGTGGCGGCTGGACTGGGACCGGCGGCCAGGCCGGCCAGTGTGCCTGCCGTCCTGGTCAGGTCCGGGGGGGCAGGGCTCCCACGCTCTGAGAGGACGGCGGGCCCGGGGTGGCCCGTGTCGCCCTGTCCTGCTCCTCCAGAGATGCCGGTCCCCGGCGTGGGGCAGCCCCTGCCAGGGCCCCCACGGCTCGCTGTGCAGCAGGCAGAGCGCAGCTGGACGGCTCAGGGTCTGGGCGCAAGTGTCCGTCCGGGGAGGCCGTCGGGCTCCCTTCCAGTGGTGCAGTGGGTTTCCCAAAGTCCTGTTTGCGCTAGAAACCTCACACTTCACCGCTGGCGGAAACACCCTTGCACTGTTTTCCCTGGAGTGACTCCATCATCCGAAACAGGCCGCTCGCCGCCCGGAGGCTGCGACGGCTGTTGTCCCAGCGGTGCCTATCAGTGTGTGGGCAGCGGTGTCCCCCCCCCCACTCGCCAAACGTCCACGCGGCCAGAGGGCACAGGGCATCTCAGCCCCCCACACAACGACCTCTGACCTAATGGAGCCCCAGCCGGGGTCTCGGGACCTGCCCGCTGCCAGCCTGGGGCGTGTGGGCCGCGCCGTGAGGGCCGCTGCTCCGATGGGCGGCCAGCGGACCTTCGAACGTGGCAGAACCTCCCCCGCCCGCCCGCACGCCCACTCACCGGCACCGGGGAGGCCCTCTTCCTCCGCACGCCTGGGGACTCCGGCTTCGCCGCGCGCCCTGAGGGCGAGCCGCCGGGGGACGGGCTGCGGCGGCCTTTGGGAGCCGGGGATGCGGGGCTGGTCGGACCCTCTCCTTGTGACTCGGCCGCGCAGGCGCCGACCTCGGGGCCGTCTCCCTTGACAGGGACGGGCTTCACCACCTGAAGGAAACACCGACGCATGGGTCACTGGGAGACGTGGAAAACGGCGTGTGAGCCCGAGCCCAGAGCCCAGCGCGCTCTGCCGTGCGACAGCAGGCAGGGCTGACAGATAGCCAGCAGCCTGCACCCAGCGTCACGGAGCCGTGAGTGCCGGCCTGTTCCGCCCGCACCGGGGTCAGCCCCGGGGTCAGCCCCGGAGGGCCCTCCCGGGGCTGCAGTGCTGCCACCCACGCTCGGGGACCTCGGCGCCACCTGCTGCCCGTCACCGGGAGGGCGGCGCACCGTGGGCCAGGCCGGCGCTCACAGAGCCTGCGGGTTGTTTGCTCGGCCCCACGGGGGCTCAACTGGCCGAGGCGGGACTCGCGAGCAGGACTGGCCGACGTGGAACCACCTGCGCCTGCTCTGGGGCGGCGTCCCATCACAACAGCCGGTGCGGGCAGGTGCTTCAGAAGCCGCAAGCGCGGCCGGAAGCTCTGAAGCACGGGCACCGCTCCCAGGGCCCGCGCTCCCCGCCCTCCCCGGCTCCAGGAGCGGCTCCGGGTGCCGGGCGGCTCTGCCCGCTCCACCCCTTCCTCACGCGGAGCGGGCAGGAAGCTGCCGCCCTCCATGAAACGCTGCAGCGGGACTCTCTCCACCCTGAGACGAGCCCCGGTGTGTCCGCCCCGCCCGCCGCACCGGCAGGACCGTGAGGACCCACCGGGGCCCACGTGCAGACTCCGCCCAGAGGGGAGCCCGACCCTCCGCAGGCAAAGGGGTCCAGCTGGCTCACCACGGCGTCTCCGAGGGCCACCCGGACGTGACCGGGGAAGACCCCGGCCGAGGGTGCAGCGAGCCCGCCCGTCCTCCCCTGGGGCCCGGGAGCCCCCCCCAAGCCCCGGGCGGCCTGTCAGCCTCTCTCGGCCCCATGAGGCCGGTTCATCTTCTCTGACTTCCTGACAGGCTCCTGAGGTTACGATCCTGGGAACCTACCTTTGAGATAAAACATCACGATGAAACCTGAAACACCGCTTTTGTGCTCCAGGTTTTCAATCCAGCCCAGCGCTCCCAGGAGAGGCCTCCAGACGCCGCCAGCAGAGGGCAGCGTGGCCTCACGCCCCGGCCCGTCCCCCGACCAGGCTGGAGGCTCAGGGAGCCGGGGCAGGCGGATCTGTTCCCAGGGCCACGCCCACCCTGCGATGTCAGCTGAGGAGCCCCCCCACCCGCACCCACCCCCCAGACCCCCACGCACCACTGGGCCCCGGCGGCCCCTCCTCTCCAGCCACTCGTGCCGCCAGGCGGGCATGCAGGTAGCCTTGAGCTTCTCGCGGATCAGCCGCTCCTCGGGCCGGTCGTCCATCCGGGGCAGGCCCCGCAGCGTCTCCCTGCTCTCCATCTCGAGGCTGCGGCGGGCGGGGCGGGGAGAGGGTCACAGGCGGGAAGGAGCCGGCCGGGCCAGGACCGAGGAAACACACTGCTGCTGCGCGGCGCGTCCAGGGGGCAGGGCACGGCGGAGGAGACCGCCCCCGGGAGCCACGGGCCGCGCTCCGGGCGAGCTCACCCCGCGGGCAGGGCCGGCTGGCGGCCGAGAACAGGCGTTTAACACCTTTACACACGCAGGTCCTAAGGGGCGGGGGGGTTGGGGGAGGCGGCAGCCACTGGACACAGAAACCAGAACTGCGGGCAGGCCGTCAACCCGCACCCTCGTTCCTGAGGTCAGCACCGCGCTCGAGGGGTCACGGACGCACGTCTGTCCGGGGTCCCAGCAACTCCGGCCGACGCAGAGAGAACCAGGCACATGTGCTCGGACCGCACTGGACACACACCCAGGGGGCCGGGAGAAGCCTGGGGCGCCTTCTACAACCACGGAAGGCTCTCCAACCGCAGAAACGAACCCCGTCCTCAGAGCGCCGCTCGAAACGCAGAGTGTTGGGAAGGGGGGGGGGGCCGCTCTACACCCAGCGCAGGAGACGCAGCGCGGCTTCTAGAACCTGGTCCCGACGAGGCCGGTGAGGCGAGGCCGGCCCAGGAGAGGCCACTGTGTCCAAGCAGGCAGCCGACCCCAGTGACCCTCAGGGACGCTCCGCAGAGCTGAGGACAGTGGCCGTCCCACACGGAAGGGAGGGGAGATCCTGAGGGGGCAGCAAGGCGGAGCTCCCAGAGCAGCCCCCACGCTCCTCCAGGCCCGTCCAGGCCCGTCCCCGGGGCAGAGCAGCGGCACTCAGCGAGACAGACGTCACGTGTGCTCCTGGGCCAATGAATGGCCAGTGGTCCGCCAGAGGCCGCCCGGCAACTCCAGAGGCGCTAACCTGCCCACACTCACCTGGCTGATGTCCAGCCCTCTGGCTTTGCTTCGACTCCCTGGAGACCACCCTTGATCAGGGACCCCGAGTCCCATCTTGCACCGTCCCTTAAAGCAGCAGTCCCCACCTTTTCGGCACCAGGGACTGGTTTTGTGGAAGAGGATTTTCCCATGGACCAGGGCCTGGGGGCCCCTGCCTTCAGGTGCGCTCTGCCATCCTCAAGCCCCTCCCCCGACCCACAGCCCAGGACGAGGAGCCAGTGGCTCACCCCCCCAGACCCCCCCAGACGACCCCATCAGGCAGACGCCACGGCGCTAACACGCTGGCCGCCCGGGGACCGCCCTGGCTCCAGAGGTGACGTGTGCTCGTGCCATCTCATCTCCGTGCGGTCCTGCGTTCAACCGAGGCGACACCTGCAGTTTAGATGCTGTTCAGGGGGCAGTTCCCTCTGCTCCCGGGCCGGCACGCAGACGGGCACCAGCGTTCCACTGTCTTCACGAGCAACAGCCACGTGCAGTCGGCGCCACAACCTGCGCCCCCCCACTTCCATCTCCAAGCCAGAACGCCTGTCACAGGCAGGCGTGCGACTCGCCGTGTGGGGCTCCCTTCCTGTCCTCACGGCGTGCACAGCGCAGTCTCGCTCGCAACTGGCGGGGCCCTGGGTCCGTAAAACACACCGTGTGCACCGCCTGCCCCGCCTGCCGGGGAACCACCGCGGCTGCTCGGCCCCGCCGGTCTCTGAGGCGGGAAGCGAACCGGGAACGAAGACTCCTTCCGACACGCTCCCAGTGTCTCCCCAACGCCCTGCCGTGCGGTCTGCACGGGCCAGGCACACGAAGCGCTGCTCTTCTATCAGGTGTGCGTGCGACCACGCACGGCGGTGACCTGTCCTCCTACCCGACCGACGCCACGCCTGCAGCAGGAAACGGCTTTCACGACGACGAGGAAAAGCACACGGGCTCATCAAAACTGAGAGCCGTACCCCACCGAGGTCGGAGGGCCTCCAGCCTACTGTCCAGAACCACACCTGTCCTCTTAACCAAAACCACACCTGGCCCGTGTGACCTGTCGGCAGAGGAACACGCATATTCTGGGAGTACTGGGAAGAATGAAAAACACTAGGCTTTTAGCCAGATAAACGTGAGCAGCTCAAACCCTGTTGCAGATTGAACTCTGGCTTCCTCTCCTGCTGACCCTGCTTCCGAACCTCCCTCGGAACCGGCCCTCTCTCTCCCCGCCGGCCGCCAGGTGTCCGGTTCTGTCCGCTCCTGGGTGACGGGACTCGCCTGGCACCAAGGGGGGTCCCCACGGCCCTCCCCAGGGAAGCAGTGCGGCTGCCCCTCCCACCCCCGCCCCAGCACCAAACACCCCTCTCCAGCGCTAGGTGCGTCCCACCTGCACGGCAGGCGTTTTCCCGCCGGCACCTCGCAGCCCCACGTGGCGACGGTGGTTCTCACAGCCGATGACGGGGGTATGCTCAGTACCCGCCTCCGCCCCCAAGTTCAGGCGCTGCTCCCGGCGTTGGCGAGACCGGCCCAGACCGGCCAGAACAGCGCCCGCACCGGGCCTGCACACCACCTCCCCCCACGGGGCCCAACGCCCAGGGCCCCGCAGAGCCCGCCCTTTGGTCCGCACGGCCGCACCGCGCCCTGACCACAGACGTTCTGTCCCGGGTGGTCTGCGGGGTCTGAGCAAGGTGCCAGGGGGCGGGGAGGGGGGACCCTTCAGGGACAGGGGAGACAGAGCAGAAACCGGGAGCGGGGAGGCAGGACTGAGGGAGGGGAGCGGAGGAGTCAGGGAGGGAGGGGCTTGAGGCTGCGTCCCCCCAGGGCTGGAGGGTCCGCCCCCCTCCCCCCGCCCGTCCAGCTCACTGGCCCGGCTCGAAGACGGACGCCCCCACGACGAATAGTGCTCACGTTGTTAACTGGAGAAGAAGATTCCAGCTTTTCTTCTACAAATCGCACTTTTGTTGGATTCTACTCAAGACCATTTTATAATTACAGGCAACTTTCTAGATCAGGAACACTCACGGGAGTGATGAATCCCATACAACCGCCTCGCGGTACAAGCGCGCTCTGCAAACCTGACATACAAGCCCCCGGATGGGCCCCCGCCGCCTCCAGGGCTGTTGGCGCCGAGGTGGACGGCAAGGCGAGACTCTGGGGGACGCGGGCGGACGCGCTCACGCCGGAGTCACTCTCGTCAAGGTAGAGGGGCTGCTGCCCGCGGCCGAGACCCGGGGGAACCGAGAGAAAGACACAGCGCCAGCGGGCTGCCGCCCCCTCCGCCCGCCCGCCGGGCCCCGAGGAAGGCACAGCAGCAACCCCGGACCCCCGCCGCGCGGGGCGCAGCCAGGTCCCTCCGGAAGGGAGCCGGTGGGTTCTGACCAAGGCCACAGGTCCATGACTGTCGACACGGATCAGGTGTCAGCAAGGAGGAGGCTGCTACTTCCACAGTGTTTGCCTGCAGGCGCGTCTCCTCTCCAGGAGTCCCCCGCGTGCTCCTGGACGAGCGAGGGGGGAGTGTCTAGGAGGCCCCATCCGCCCTCCGCCCCACCCGCCAGCGCCCCACCCGTCAGCTGCGCCTCCGGGGCAGGACCCTGCCACCCCCACGGGGGCGGGGCCTCGCATCCGCCCCACCCAGGGGCGGGGCCCACAGTCCTTGCAAAGAGCAGCCCCGGGAGGCGTGGCTGCTCCCCGGCCCTGAGGCTCCCGTCAGAAAGATCCCAAGTCGGTGCCAGATGGAGGCTCCTCTGGTGTCCGTTCTCTCTGGAACCTTCTCCAGTGGGTGTGTGATGACATTTTTACTAAGTCAGTTGTCTCCAAAGGCACGTGACAGCCCCCACCCCCGACTATCCTGCCGGGAGACGGAGCGCACAGGCGCAGACCTGGCACGGTGGCCGGCCGCGTGTCCGCCCCCAACAGCGTCTGGAACGTGGGGGGAGTGAGAAGGGTGACGTTCTTCTGCCTGTCTTCGGGGTCAGTGAAAGCCCTCGGATGGACGGAGAGGAGGGGGCGGCGCTGGCGCGGGGGTCGAGCACAGAGCCCCCTCCCCGCCTCCGCCGGGATGTGCTCCTGCAGGCCCCGCAGGGCAGCGGGCGCCGTTTCTGCGCGCTTCCTCCCAGCGGGCGGCCCTTCGTGTTACTGGGACGCCCAGCGAGGAAGGCAGACTTCCTGACCACTGGGGCTCTCCTCTCCGTGCGCCCCGTGCTGGAGAGTCCCTCCACCGGCGAGCGCCGCGTGGTGGCAGGGCACCCACTCTGCCCGGGGGGACAGCGGCCCACGTGAAGCGGGATGGAGACAGGAAGACACAGGAGGCCGGACCTGCGTCCCTCCGGGCGCGCGGCCAGCACTCTGGGAAAGCACCGAGCCTCTCGGCCGAAACGGGGTCACCCGAACACATCGTGAACAGTGTCCAGGACGGGGTGGGTCTTCCTCCTCGACTTTACTGGGGACCCTGGAAAGACCCACAGAGGAGGTGACGCCCGGATAATTTTAGAGGGACGCACAGGACCAGCAGGCAGCTGATGGAGGCTGGAAGGACATTTTCTGGACAAAAGAACCAATCTGTTTTGGAGAACATGACGTTCTGTGAAATGCTGAACAGCGCACGGTCCTGTTCAGGAATCTCCGGGTAAAACACTTGCGCTGCTTCACCTGGAAGCCTCCGTGCTTCCCGGTTCTCTGCGAGGGAGGGAGGCCCACCCACAGCACTCCTCACAGCCGCTCGGCCCGCGAGTGCTCCTACGAGGGGCCCTGGACACGGGCGGTCAGAGGTCAGAGGGCGCCGGGCCATCTCTCCAGTCCCTTCCGGCTCCAGGGGTCAACACGCAGGAGACGAAAAACCCAGAGAGGCGGCGGCACCGGCTGTCCTGTCTCAGCACGAGGCCTCTCCGACCACCCCAGCACGGGGCGCGTGGGCAGTGCAGCTGAGGCCCCAGCACTCGGCCCCGGGGGAGACTGGCCTCCGGCCAGACAGACGGACAGAGTTGGCCGGTGCAAGCCCAGCCCGAGAGACGTGGGGTCAGACCCTCCTCCCTGGCCGGGTCGGACCACCAGCAGAGGCCCTCAGCCTGGTGTGTCACTTCGATTTGTCCCTGG